AACTTCAGCCTGGAGCTAAAGTTCGGTTAGAACCGTGGACGTATTCCAAAGAATGGAAACCAGCGACGGTAGTGAGGCATCACCATACGCCAAGATCATATGTGGTGCAAACCGAGGACGGAAGAAAGTATCGCCGCAATCAACAGCATTTGAGAGTTTGTCCAGCTCTTGGATCTGACAGCGACGACCAAACCATAGCTCCAGTAGTTGACAAAGAAATGTCATCTCCCGAGAATGCAGATCCACTATCCGTTGGTGCCGACCAATCCACTGCTTCATCGACCGTGAATCCAGATCCTTTACCCTTACCAGAAATGTTCCCACCACCTGGACCACCAGCCGAGACCACCAGCCCGTACGTTACCAGAAGTGGTCGATTAGTGGTGAAACCCAAACGATTTGGGTGGTAAAGTTAGAAACACTATTTGACATTAATTTTAGTTATTTGGACTTTATAAGTTTAATGAACTTATATTTCTATGTTTTATATTGAACTTTGCTTTATCTAGAACATTTAACATTTTGTCTTAGCAACTTGAGCTTTAATTTATTCAGAATTTAGGCTATTATTAAAAAGGAAAAGATGTGATATCATAATTAGCATAAGCATACTCGGCCCACCCGGGTGAGTATATTTGTAACATATTTATGTTTGAATAATTAATATCGTTCTGTGTTGTGATTGTCAGCCATCTTGAATGAATGTCTTTATTTTACAAGCCATTATATGTCACGTAGAGTGACTTTATATGTGATAAAACTCATCTTCATTAGTATTCTTTATATAATTGTTCATCCTAATTAGTATGATTATATAATTGTTCATCCTAATTAGTATTCTTTTGTAGTCGTATTTTAAGCTATTCAGTCAAAACACTCGAACTCGCGTTTTATTATATGTAAAACGCTCGGCTGCGCCTCGCGTTTTAAATGTAACAAGACGCCTGCTCAGGCGTTCACACTGGCCTTAGCGGTTGGTAAAACAGTAAAATACCATCGCAATATTCTAAAAAATAGGTACGTAGTGCTTACATGTTGCATGCCATCAAAACCATGAAACCTCACGACTCAGAATACTATACAGAAATCATGGCCATCTCCATTGTTTTCTGTGTACGTGCTATTTGTCATTTGTCAGTCGGCAAGTACAGTAAACAGAAGCAGTTACCCCCTGGCACTGAACAAAGATACACAGAAGGTCGATTAGAGCATAGTCCAAAACATGGTCTGGAAACTCAGTAAACTTCAAAGCGGTTATAATGAGCTGGGATTTTACGTTGAGCCTTACCTTAAACCATGTACATCCTTTGTTTTAGGTTTATTAATATTTAACTAACATGGTTGAATGACTGAATTGAAACGTCGCTGTTGGATGATTCGTTCATTATACTGAAATACAATGTGTTCATAATTGACTGTGCACCGTGCACAAAACTGCATAAACGCAAAACAAAAAGATAGAACAAAGACTTTAGCGGTGTTTCCAAACCATGTTTTGAAAGACTGTAATTAGAGTAAACGCTGCCACATCCCAACCAGTGCGCACCAAAGAGGCACGCCCCCCCCCCCCTCCCGCTGGACGTCTATCATTTTGAATATTATAAGGGGGGTAAATGCCTCCCAAAAGCGCACCAGCCAGGACCATGACGTCAGCATTTTGATGATGAATTACGGTCACGCCAAAATCATTGGAAAACCATAAGAAAAACCAATAAATTGGGCTTCTGTATGACCGACCCTGTGCCCTGGTAATGATGCGCGACCGCTTATAACTTTTGGTACAACTGATCTGAAACTTAAAATATTGATTCAATAAGTTTAAGATCAATATATTGTTTGAAAAATAGCTATTATGTCAAAATTAGAAAACTTAAGATTCTCACGCGAATAAGCAATGTTTTTATGAGCGTCTGTTCATCATTAGTTGCCAACGACGGTAATATAAACAAGGTCAAGGCAGGTCAAGTTTGTATCGAAAGCGATTGACTGTTAGATTTTCTTTTATACTATTTTATAACTAAAAAATGTTATTTCCTACAAATTTAGCTTTATTGTAGCTTTAGTAAAGGTATAAAAAAAACTGGAAACGGTGAATTACTATAGATCGAAAATAATTATTAAACTATGATTGAAATTATCGACGTAGAATGCTATATTTCGTTGTATTAAATTTCAATAGTGTATAAATACATTAAATAGTAATACATTTGACATCCGTAAGTACAATTTCTTATGCTGAATCGAACGGTGGTATTTTTATCCTTATAGCGCCATTAGACATTACAAATACAAAGACAAACGTAGTGCGAGTGATTTGTTATAAATAATACATACTGCGAGCGATTTGTCAATACAATTTCGCTTGATTTTCAAAGGCCATAAATCGCTAGAATACTGGTGTTCAGTAATACACTTGACATCCGTAAGTACAATTTCTTTATACGCTGAATCGTACGGTGTCGCTTTCTTCTCAAAATATAGGAATTGGTTTATAAATCATAGTGAGCATGTGTAATGTGATAGCTAAATTCACTGAGCTATAATATTACAGTAATATTATTATAGCTCAGGGGCTAAATTGCGCAATCCTGAGCCCACGATGCCGCAATGGAAAGTCACACTTGCGACAACAACAACAAAAAAAACCGAAAAAATTCCTCGCATTCCAGCGAGGGCAAATTATAACACTGGCTGCGGCCAGTGTAATAAAACACTCCTTCTCGTGTTTTAAATACTACATATTGTAACAGCAGACCAAAACTTATGCGCGCTAAGCACAGCACATGATGTTTACTGCTTTATATAGCGAAATTGGTTCGATTTTTGAATTACTCTAACTTGTCTTCATTTTTTTGTTTTATGGCTGAGACTTCAGTAAATGTGTGGGGTTGGATAGGTCTACAATATATCTAAAATCGAGGGAGACTGAAGAACCTTTTTGTTTTTCATATCTGCCACACATTTTGTTTTCCTTACGGTCAAGCTCTCTGACTTAAATTAAGTGGCTCTAATTTTGCAAATTTTAATTTGTTAATATTAACAGTTCGTTTTGGGGGGATCTAAATTCGTAGACATAATTTACCAGCATCGCAGCATGATTACGTGTTTGACTCTATAGTCAGGGACGCCGGAACGATGTGAAGGCAAGGGGGGGGCAGATTTTCGTGAAAGGGCACTTATGATGGATATATACTAAAAGATGTTTGCAAAACATCGGGAGTTGAACTTTGCCTAATCATGTTTTCTATTTATTGGATGATAGGGGTGTGATGGGGTTCTCCACCAGGCGATTGTGCTATTCTTGAAGCTCGATGACCGCATTTCTTGCGTTTTCTGAAGCAAATTCGTAAAAGAATTGCACTAACATTTTTGTCATTTCGCTATTTCGCCAAGGCAATCCTTTATATTGAAAGGGCACCTTTGCCCCCCTTGCCCCTCCTGGTAAAGGGCAACGGGGGCGGCTGCCCCTCCTGCCCCCCCAGTTCCGGCGTCCCTGTCTATAGTAAAAACATTCCATCACTAAAAGAGTATCGATAAATGCTAACTGCTGGCGTGAACATGCATACACGTGATTCAGGTCTTGCTGCGATCAGTAAAATATTCTGGCTTCCATTGACAAAAATAGGTACGATTGTAAGTGCTACAAAAATTAAAATACTCCTGCATAATCATATGTATATGCATGGGTGAAGGATCAGGAAAATTAAGATGGAATTTAGCTAGAAAACATGTATGGCACGAGTATGAGTGTTTCGTTATATTGAGATGCAAGGGCGCAGCCCGAGCATTTTTTTATTATGATAAAACAAGACTACAAGCACCTTCAATGGATTAAAACACGATTACTGGCAATAGATACTGTCTAATTAATATCTTCTCTCCATAAATCCATTTCACGCAACATAATTATTATGGATGACATGATTTGCCACAAAGCTTATGAATTATTTAGCAGTGTTTCAAGTTATTATTACTTAATTTTGATATAATATTGGTATTATAAATTACTGGTATTACAATTAAATTCCTGGTGTCTTACTTTGTCTTGTATCTAGAGACAATGCTGTCGAGACGACTCTGCATCGCTTCTCGGAATTCAGGTTTAGGTAAATTAAGAAGCCATTTTGGTTGCACTTCTGGAAGCCCCCAGAATAGACAGTGACCTCGTACGGAAAAGCTAATAAAGATATATCATCAAAGAGAAATCATTAAACGCATAATCATGCATATATTCATACGGTATTGCAGTTATTTAATCCATGTGTTTAATTGTGTTTTGAGCACGCGCATATTATTTAAACATTAGAGAGCTAGTGTGGAGTTGCTTTGCCCGACAAAAATGATGTGGTCAGGCAAGAACGTAAAGATGGAAAAACTAAGGGCCCGATCACTTGGACCGGCGGCTAGCCCGCTTTGCCGGGATAACTCGGTAAACTGGGGTAGCCCGCTCACTATAATAGTTTAATACTAGACTCCCCTTGCTAGCAAAACTACTATATTTCCAAACATGAAGTATTTGAAGGGGTTGTCATGGTAACACAATCATATTATTCTTTATATTTTTTAAAATTGAATTAAAAAACCAAAAATAACTTTTTAATTAAATTCAATTTAAAGCAAAATTGAACCACAAACGCTTCGGAAAATGTTTTAAAATGTTCACAAAACTAAGTGCCTTTTATCGATAAACTCAAAGGTGGCCAGAGCCCCAGGTTACTTCTCAACCCTCCTGATCTATGCACGTGCAATTAATAGATCAGGAGGGTTGAGGAGAAATATTTAATGAGAAGTGCGGTTACGAAGTTCGAAAAATTCAAATCCAGAGCAGATCGACTCACGAGTTCGGAGAAAATACTTTAAAAGTACTTAAGTTGTTTTAATTCTTCATGGAAAAACGAGAGAAATGATTTTACTAGTTGGAAAGATTGAATAAACATAAATATAGCCAGGCTTTAGAAGCGTTTGGCAATCAATTTTATCGGCGACTTTTGTTGAAATTTAGGTCCTGCCCAAGTTCGCCCGGCGTCACAACAGCCTATACCTTTGTGTTCTTTGTAAAGGGTAATATTAGATGATATACAGTGTAGGCCGGGTTCAACGAAATGTCCTGAAAATCTACGAGAGTGAAGTAAATGACACAGTAAACAAGAAAGTCCACCAATATTTTGAATCAGTGCGTATTTAGGCATTATTTTTTACAGTATTTTACAATAGATAAAGTGTATATTAAATCGCATTCTTAAGATGTTTTTATACCACTATATCAAACTAAAATTACGGCCCCTAAATCACATAGAATACATAAAGGAAACTAAGTAAATTATACCTTGAAAGTAGCAAAAGTAGAGGGAAAGAAGTGGCAAGAAGAATGACCAAAATTCCTCTCAGCATGTCGCGGCACACCGCAGGTTAACACTGGAGCTACACCAGCATATCTGATGTTAGGGAGAGAATTGAAGACGAAACTCCCCGAGTTAAGGCGCCAAGACAGCATCCTAAATCAAGCAACAAAAGTGCATGATTGGAGCCAGAAACTGAACCAGAAAGCTTACGTTGATTACAAGAACAAAGTCTCTACTAAGGGACCGGTCATTATTTATGGAAGGGGGGGGAGGGGAATTTTTTCTTTTCTAAATTTTTAAAATTGAAAGCCCCCCCCCTAAATGGCAGAAATTTAATGATGACCCCCCCTGCATATTAGAATATTTTTCTTTGACCCCCCCATTTTCATTTTTACTCGTCGAATGCCGAATGGGGATACCCAGGCGTTATAGTGTTAATTATTAAATAAGAATATGGAACTGGCAAGATATTAACATCGACTAAAAATATATATTAGCAGAAAATTATAATTAAAAGAGGAGTATTTTTATATATAACACTAAAATCAGGTTTCCATTTGGTCTGGGCGATTGTAACCATGTTTAAGGCTGCAACTAGACTTGATGGTACGAAGTATTGCCATAGCAGCTGCGCAGCAACAATGAGAGCAACAATGAGTAAAATTAGCAGCAAAAGGAGATAGCAATGACAATTCTGCCAAGGCAAACCTGCGAAATACAATGTATAGTGGTCTATACATCCTATTTTATGTGAGATTAAAAATTATATAAAGTAAAATGACATATACTAGCTACCAGATAAAATCCTTTAGAATGAACATGGGTGGGTGGGTGGGTGGGGAAAAGGTATCGAAGTGCAAAACTTGCTGCAGCTAGGCAAAGCATACAATGGCAGAATGAATACCCAGACCGAAGCACTGATCACAAGGCATGAAGCAACCCCCTTTGATCGATATGACGTCACAGACTCCCCTCAGCAGATGTGGCCTGCATAATACATCCGCCGTTAACCTTGCTTAATTTAAATGTATTTAACCACATCAAGAGCTGATGTAATAATACATTGTCAATTTAACTAGTCTGCAATCCGTAAAGACTGATTTGCATACAGCACACACAAGACAAGATGAATCCAGACTATTTCACATCAGTGACCATGATTTAGTTGCAACATTTGATTTACAACCAAATGGATACCAGGTTATTAAGCAAATTTCTTCAAATTTAATTGCAACCCCCCCCCCCCGTCATTTTCTTGAAAAAATTTAATAGCCCCTCTTTCTAGTCATTTATTTCTACATATGGCCCCCCCTTATTTTTCCTCTCCCCCCCTTCCATAAATAATGACCGGTCCCTTAATCGAGTCGGTCGTGGTGATCAAGTTTTATTGAAGAATACTAAAACAACCGGACAGTAATTGGTATGCAAATAAATGAAAAAAAATAAGGCAATCGAGCGGTAAACGAGGTGGAATACAGTATTACAGTTATCCACATAGGAGAGACTGTTGCCCAGCATATGGTAAAAGCTGCAATAGATACAAAAAATTGCATCATTTTGCCAGTATGTGTAAGGCAAAAGAGGTAAACTTTATTGATAAAACTGACGAAGAACAAGACCAATATTTTTTCATTGGAACAGTTAATTCAGATGAAGCAAATCAGCATACCACCTCATTCAAACTAGACTGATACAGGGACTCACTTGAACGTCGTGCCGGTCTATAAAAGCTGGAATTGAATAGAATCACAAAACTGGAGCTACTGTATCATTATAACCTCGTCGTGGCCAGTCGTGGGTAAATAGAATTCGTATAAACCGACTTACTGAGTGTCGTAAGAACGTTTCTTCAGTTTTTTATATGTCAAAGAAATGTATACGGAAGAATGTAAGATATAATTTCTCACCAAGGGATATTGTGAGTATGTAATTGTCTTATTTACACGTAAATATTTTCCGATTTCCTTAAACTTTTTTCATATTTTATAATCGTATAAATTTATAATCTAACGTATCGACAATAACATTCATGAGTCTCATAAGACATTTTAACTAGAACATATAAAGTATATTGTAACTTACCTTTGGATGAAATTGTAAGTATTGCTGCTTAATAAAGTATAGATTTTGTCTTTTGAAACTTTTTGTCATCCATTTTTAATTGCCTTCCGTTTTAACACCTTCGAACTCCCCCCCCCCCTGATAACATTATAAATTTTAATGAATTCAAAAATACTCCCAAAATCTGGGAGTATTTGACTAGCATTTACCAGGGCCTTCGCCCTTAGCAGGCCCTGGGTACGAGGTTGTTACTATAGTAGGTAATTGACATTTATGGATATTTCTAGAACTTTAATAATGTAGTTTTTATTAGACTTAGAAAGAAGGTGCAATGACAGATGTTTGGGCTACCTGTGCTGTGAATAGTATAAATAAGGTCACTGATTGGAAGGTCAGAAACTTTTTTCTGCAAAGGAAAAAGCGGATGGCTTTAACCAATTTTTTACGTCAGTCTTCACCTCCGACACAAGTTCTTCACCTCTTTACACCCCCTCTAGTTCAGCTTCTAACTCTCTTGACTCATTAAATGTATCTGAATCCGATGTTCAGTCTTTGTTGTCCAATTTGTCACCCTCTAAGGCTACTGGTCCAGATGGCATTCCAGCTTACCTTCTAAAGCGATGTTCTGAGGTAATTGCCCCTTCTTTGACTGCTCTCTTTGAGTTATCTCTTCAGCAGGGTGTTTTTCCTTCTGAATGGAAAGCTGTTAATGTCGTGCCTATACCCAAAAAGGGTGACACTCATGAGGTCACTAACTACAGACCAGTTTCCTTACTCTCTCAAGTCTCAAAAGTTCTCGAACGTTTAATTTTCAGGCAGGTTTCTTCTTTTGTTGAAAACTCCTTGTACGACCTTCAACACGGCTTTCGTTGTCAAAGGTCGTGTGTTACTCAACTTTTGAGTGTACTTCACGACCTTGGTCGTACTCTTGACTCTGGAAAGGAAACAGACCTGATTTATCTCGACTTTGCTGAAGCGTTTGACTCGGTGTCCCATAGCAAACTTTTGTTCAAACTCAAATCGTTTGGAATCTCAGGTCCACTTCTTAACTGGTTTGCTGATTACCTTCGTGATCGCAAACAGTGTGTTGTCGTTGAAGGAGCTTCCTCATCTTTTCTTAATGTTACCTCTGGGGTGCCACAAGGTAGTGTAATAGGTCCACTTTTATTCATTCTTTATGTAAATGACCTTCCCGAGGTAACCAATAATAGTACCGTTGCACTTTTTGCTGATAACAGCAAGTGTTATCGTGCTATACGATCACCAGTTGATCGTGGTCTCCTTCAGCTTGACCTGGACGCTATGTCCAACTGGTCACTTAACTGGAAAATGAAATTTAATGTCTCGAAGACGCTCCTACTTAGGATATCTCGCAAACGTAACCCTCCAACTCATTGCTACTTTCTTAACAACGATCCAGTTAAGAGCATAGCTAACCAAGTAGATTTGGGTGTTGTTATCAGCAATGACCTAAAGTGGTCCCCTCACATCGCCAGCTGCACTGCAAAAGCCAATCGTATGCTTGGTTTTCTTCGTAGGAATTGTACGCAAATGTCTGATATTCGCTGCCGTAGGCTTCTTTATCTTGCTCTCGTCCGATCTCATCTGTCTTATGGTAGTGAGATCTGGGCACCTCAAGGATCGTCATGTGATCTTGCGATCATCGAGGGTGTTCAAAGACGAGCTAGTAAATTTATCCTTCAGGATTATGAGTTGCCATATCCTGAACGCCTTAAAAAGCTTAATTTATTACCAATATCCTACTGGATGGAACTAAAGGATCTCGTCTTCTTTTTTAAATGTCAGCACGGTCTCTTCGACCTAGATATCTCCTCTTTCGTCACTTTTTCTTCAAACAGCTCGTCTCACACCCGTTCAAGTTCGGACAACTTGCTTCGTGTCAATCATTGCAGGACTTCTCTCTTTAGGAACTCTTTTTTCAACCGAATTGTCTTTCTCTGGAATAATCTCTCTCCCACCATTCGTAATAGTTCATCGGTTTCCTCCTTTAAAAACAGACTAACTGTTCATTACTCTTCTCTAATTCATTCATCTTTCGATGTAAACAGAATGCGCACTTGGAAAACCTTCTGTTCTAAGTGCCGCTCTTTCAACTTAAGCTGTTGTTCGTAATTCGTCATGTTTTCTGTAAATTTTATATTTGTTATCGTCTTTGATTTATGTTTGTTATAGTTTGTTTTCATTAAGGTTGGTCTTCATATGGGGCTATTCATGTCCTGTTGACCATACCTTCAACCATATTATGTAGTTTTTTAGTCTATTTTATGTATGGTTGTAAAGTTAATAAATAAATAAATAAATAAATAAATATACATATATATATAGTTTAGTCGGAACATAGACAATCAAAGGAATGGACTGGAAACGCTAGGCAAAACGCTATGACGCGAACGCGGCATCCGTGATACGGGCTAACACATATCAATTTATCAGTTACCGTGGCAACTGGCCTGTAAAAAAGTTTAAAAAATGTAGATTTTGCATATATTTTTCCCCTTTTTTTTAACAAACGCAAAGGTAAAAGTTTTTTTGGCGGTACCAAAAGCAGAGAATATATGCCAAGGTGAGTACGTGTATATTTTTAATTTTCCCTATAAAAACAATCATTATAACTTCGGTTTTTCACAACGTTGACAAAACAATTACGCACGTATATTACATCTCTCCCTGTGTGGTTATATTTCGAACCCTGGAACTTGGCGACAAACTAAGCTGTCACTTGTCTGCTAAGGCATATAGTTAAACTCTCATATGTAATGTTGATTCCACTAGGACGTTCACAAATCCCTGCGATATATGAGCAACAATGAGCAACAATGTCCCATGAGCAACAATGAGCAACAATGTCCCATTCGGTTTAGCAGAGTTATGAGCTGCTTCGACCTTGTTAGATGTTTAATAGTTATACCTAACGATACATGCTTTGGAAGCTTCACTCTGGCGTTACTTGCAGCGTGTACGACGTCTTGGCATATCATTAGTATCTTCCTTTCATGTGAGACAATTGAAGCTTTAGGGCTTTGATCAGCAGCGTACACCTCCGAGGATACCATATACCTCACCAACCAATACAGGTTATCAGGAATAAGTGCTCGCGCCTTCTGTATGTACAAATCTTCAAGAGATAAGGGATCGATTTTAATTCCCCTGCACGTGCTTAAATCATTTCTGATAATGACTGCTGCTTTATAGATTATCTTAATTGATTCATTTGGATCATCCCTTAAGAATTCATTCTGAGCTGCAACTGAAGTTGTGGTGTTTTCTGTTGTTCTCGCAGCTATATTAATAACATCAAGAAGTGATATGGAACTAGAGTAAACAATTTCTGGTTTTGTGCTCCCATGTGGTTGGTGAAACACAAGACTGTCGTTGAAAACTAACTTTAAACGTAATTTGAGCTTTTGCCTGGTGTAGCTATCGGCATTTACATCTCTCTTGGTTAGCATATCCTTGTACAATTGTAGTAGGTAATTCATATTGCACGCTTTTCCATTCAGGATTTCAGGTCGTATTATGTCAAGGAACTCAGCAAACGCATCCTCGTATTCGTTAACAGGTTTTCCATTTATACACTGCGATTTGATATTTGCCTTGCTCACATATGATGCATGGCAAGACTTATGATACTTGCCTTCACTAGCAATTAGTTCAACAGTTCGTAATACAGGCAGTAGTTCTTCATCGCCTCTGGCCTCAGCAGCTGTTCTAATGCTATTGCACGCTTCAAAAGTCACAATATTGATTAGTTTAAAATCCCTTTTGCGAGAAGCATTCCGACAAAAGATACACTTCGTCCAGTCAGTCAATGGACGGTTTCGTTGCGATTTCAAACTCACTTCACTTACTTCATTCACTTGAGGAGAACCCGTTTGACCCGTTGATAGGCTATGTAAATTACGGTCACTAGTGTAGGATGCGTAACATGAATTATGCCACAAAATCTCTCTGGAAGTAAGATGATCAATATCACTATGCAATCTATCAAAACAATCATCTTTGCGAATATTTGCAGCAAATATAAACTTTTCAATTGATGGAACTTGTGCTTTTCTTAAACAATCATGCTTGTTCCTTTCTTGACAAATTATACATTGTTTAAAATTAGTAAGTTTTTGACTCACGGATGTTGCGAAGCAACATCTGTGAGTCTTTGTGGTTACTTGAGTGGGGCAGTTAAACAATGGGAAATGACCAGCCTGCTTTGCGCGCAGTGTTTGCCTGCGAACGGGTCTTTTGGAACCGGAAATTGGGCTGGAGCACGCTTCACGTTCTTTTCAACTTTTGACTTTTTGACAAGCGTATGGTAAATTAAAAGGTGAGTGTTTCGTTTTTGTTTAGTTGACTTAATTGTTATCTGTTTTTCTACTTCACCCAACAGATCTGCTGTTAACACACTGATCTACCTTTTAGCTGAAATATTAACAATATTTTGTTCAATATATATACACATTTTCTGGTGCCTTTCGTTGTGTTCACATTTTCTGGTGCCTTTCGAGCGCCTCTGTCAGCTGTGTTTCAACACCGTTTCAACACTGTTTCCATAGTTTCTGTCGATTGAAAGAGTTTTTTGTTCACCAAATTTAATCATGTTATTTAAATAATTCATGTTTTAGCTGTCACGGAATACAAAGGACATATTTGTCTTATTTGAAGCAACACGACACAAAATCTTGGTATTAAAGTCACGTTGCCGTTGTATATTTCACATGACTGCGCTTGCACTGGCAGGGACGAGTCTCACATGAGGACGAGTCTCACAAACATACCACATGATTTTAAGACAAAAAATAGTGGATCACATGAACAGTATAGAACATGCCCTTAGACCATATATGAATAGTTCAGTAGATCATTATTTAGCCACAAGCAACATGAGGAACAGTGGTGTGTGGGGGACTGATATTGAAATTTTTGCAGCCATTCCCTTTTCAATGTAGATATTTATGTTTATTCACAGTTTGGTAACAATTATAAATGGTCTAAAAAGAAAAAGAACATTGGACACTGAGGCAGCATTACCACCTGGATTTACTTAGACACTTTACTGCCATTGGACAGCTACCTGTACCGTTGTATCAGTAAGGGTGCTGTTTTATAGTTGTTCTGTTTAAATTTTTCTGTTCAACACTGTACACTGTACATCGTACAGCTACGGTCATTGATGCAGCATGTACTGTATTGGTTACAGCTTTATACTTATAGCTATCATGTTTAAATTGTCCTGTTCAACACTGTAGATCGGACAGCTACGGTCATTTGATATATTACATTGGGTACAGCTTTATACTTATTATAGTTATCATGTTTAAATTGTTCTGTTTAACACTGCCACATATCGCAAAGCCACGGTCATTGGATGTACTGATACTGACTGTATTAGGTACAGCTTTATACTTATAGTTATTCTGGTGAACACTATACACACCTGACAGCTACGGTTGTTGTACTTTTATATAGATTTGCTTTGATAGTGTGTAGTTTTGTAATAATCTATTCAGATTTTTCAAGACTGTTGATATTGGTTAGGGACCGGTCATTATTTATGGAAGGGGGAGGGGAATTTTTTCTTTTCTAAATTTTTAAAATTGAAAGCCCCCCTAAATGGCAGAAATTTAATGATGCCCCCCCTGCATATTAGAATATTTTTCTTTGACCCCCCCCCCATTTTCATTTTTACTCAAATACGTCAAACTACTACAACTTCAATTTACGTTAAATAGGTATACCCAGGCGTTATAGTATTAATTATTAAATAAGAATATGGAACTGGCAAGATATTAACGTCGACCAAAAATATATATTTATTAGCAGAAAATTATAATTAAAAGAGGAGTCTTTTTATATATAACACTAAAATCAGGTTTCCATTTGGTCTGGGCGATCGTAACCATGTTTAAGGCTGCAACTAGACTTGATGGTACGAAGTATTACCATAGCAGCTGCGCAGCAACAATGAGAGCAACAATCAGTAAAATTAGCAGCAAAAGGAGATAGCAATGACAATTCTGCCAAGGCATACCTGCGAAATACAATGTATAGTGGTCTATACATCCTATTTTATGTGAGATTAAAGATTATATAAAATATTAAAAATGAAATATACTAGCTACTAGATAAAATCTTTTAGAATGAACATGGGTGGGTGGGTCGGGAAAAGGTATCGAAGCGCAAAACTTGCTGCAGCTAGACAAAGCATACAATGGCAGAATGAATACCCAGACCGAAGCACTGATCACAAGGCATAAAACAACCCTCTTTGATCGATATGACGTCACAGATTCCCCTCAGCCGATGTGGCCTGCATAATACAAACGCCGTTAACCTTGCTTAATTTAAATGTATTTAACCACATCAAGAGCTGATGTAATAATACATTGTCAATTTAACTAGTCTGCAATCCGTAAAGACTGATTTGCATACAGCACACACAAGACAAGATGAATCCAGACTATTTCACATCAGTGACTATGATTTAGTTGCAACATTTACAACCAAATGGATACCAGGTTATTAAGCAAATTCCTTCAAGTTTAATTGCAACCCCCCCCTGTCATTTTCTTGAAAAAATTTAATAGCCCCCCTTCTAGTCATTTCTACATATGGCCCCCCCCTTATTTTTTCCCTCCCCCCTTCCATAAATAATGACCGGTCCCTTATTGTTAAAATCGAGGATGTCGTTAAAATTAAACTGTTTAAACCTGTAAGATCTTCGGGAACATTTTATATTATGTCGTGTTTTACCAAATAATGTCCTTGCACGGTTCCCATTTGTAAAAGCTGCTGTAAATCATATCCTTCTTTAATTAATTTGATCTCATCTGGATATGGTTAGAATTCTGGAACATTGATGAGAACCTCGACGGTGCCATATTATTGACAAATACAGGAATGTTCTGACTTTAAAACTGCCAAATTACCGAAAGTAGTTATGAGCATGGCCATAATATGTTTTCGCCTTTCTTCCAAGATTTTCCACCCTAATTGATCAAGGGCCAGTTGAGATTGACCAGGCTCATCTTTAAAGTTCACTATAATTATAGCACATCTGTTGTGAAGTTTGTGTAGTCATTCGGACTGGCCTCTACCAATGGAATTCCAAACTTCACAACAGTAGAATGGTATTGAACAAGACCGTAATAGACTGACATCAAAGTATCGGAATCAGTGAAATATTTTTCATAGCACTTATTTCTGAACATTTTTTTTCGAAATAATTTATGATCATGCAATAAGACTGTCCCAAGCTAAAAACTTATCCATTTTGACACCAAGAGCTTTTGTAACCTGAACCCCTTTAATTGGTTAATCACCAATAAAAACACGCGATTCTTCTGCCAACGGGTTAATATTGTCCCGTGCATGATCCAATCAAAAGATATTCCGCTTTGACTAGGTTACGATAAAGCCTGTTTAGAAGCCATTCTATGATGTTATTGAGATCAGCATTAAGGGCCACCTCCGCTTCTTTAATTGCGGGATTTACCGGACACTGTGATGTTAGTATCATCGGCGAACATACGTGCATGTGTAGTGTGTTGTAAGCAGTTAGGTAAATTATTGATATAAATTAAAAACAGAAGTGGACCCAAAATTTAACCCTGGCTAACTCCATTTTTTAGATATTTTAACGTGGAAAGTTCCCCCATTTACTTACCATCGCTGAGATCGATTTGATATATAAGAAAGCATATATAAGAGGCGTATTCTTGATACCATGCATATAACTCGAGTTTGGCCAGTAATATGTCGTGGTTTAGAGCGTCAAATGCTTTTTTAAACGGCAAGATTATATTAACCACGATCCATATTAACATATTACCACTCATCAGTGCAATCTAGCAATGCAGTAGATGTAGAATGAAAGCGTCTGAACCCAAACTGCTGTACAGACAATAAATCTACTGGTGGTAAAATATTCGTATAACTGCTCATACAAGATCTTTTCAAGTATTTTGCTAATAACCGGCAAAACGTATATTGGCTTGTATAGTTGTCTAAAACGGTACGTGAACCCTTCCTATGAAGCTCGTTGTGCAGTGTCCACAAAGCTACTGACGCCATATCATGTCCATCAGTGCTTGTCGTTGCCCTTATGCGGAAATTCGCTGAACAGAAATAAAAAGCTTGTACACGCAAAAACAATCCGCAAAAACAATCGCTTTCAATAGAAATCCATCGGGCAGAACACGAATATATGAATATGACCCCCCCCCCCCCTCCAATTATCGGTCTAGCTACGGCCCAGCCTACATGTAAAGCTGCCGTGCATGAGAATGAAAAGTTTTTATAATTTTTTATAAATATATGCTATACTGAGCATGATTCATAATCTCGTGTAGCATTTTCGTACACTAATTTACGTGGTTCTCGATTTGTTGTACGAGAAGTGTTATATGCAATAAAATTTACAATGATTTCTAAAGATAATCATACTACATTTTATTTTTTCATAACAACACCAAATTCTATAGAAATGTTCTTACACTATAGAGCTTCAACTATATAATATTGATCGATCGAGAATTCATGAAAATAAGGCCAGACCTTTTATTTCGTGGTTTGCCGATAGTAAAATCTGGAAAGACAGGAAAGTAAAACAAAAATCGAAAATATACCTCAGTGGACGTGATGGAAATAATTGACACACGGTAGTCAAGTATTTTCCTTATGCAGGTCAGCATACAGCTCGCGTGCTGGGCGAATCCGTCACTATATCGCAATACCGTCCTGAATCAAGATTTACAAATTATATAGTTTTAATATCCTACCTCTATAATTACATACACAATTGAAAAAAAATACTTCACACCAGCAACTTTGATAAGTGGCACCAGTAGACGTGGCTTCTTTGACGTTTTTACCTCGTGATCCCAGGCTCTTAAAAACAAGATTGATACATGGATCAATCTTTATTATTTTCACGTTGATTGACCGATAATCGTAATCGCAACGATTACGTATAGGCCTATAGATATCGGTAAAAGTTTCTTTATCTCTCTCTAGATTACATATAACAAAACAATATATATGGGAAAACAATCATTACTGTAAAATATCATTTGGTAAAAATTATTGTATTTTCTTCTTTAAATTGGTCTTAAAACTGTATTAAACCTATATACATGCAATCCTGGCAAAAACTAATGAAACGTCCAGTATGATTAACAATTTAATCTATTCTTCCCCCCTTAATTCCCCCTTACAATGTTGATTAAGATGAGTAAAAAACCTAAACATGGTGCTTTCTTCCATCGATAAACTATTGAGCACAATTTTTTAGACTCTATAATGGCCAACATTGTTCAGGAGGAGGGGATTTTGTCTATTTTATTTATTTTTTTATAATTTTAGTATCGAACTGTCTCTAAGCTAGCCTCATTTTGTATTATTTCTTGGAATTAACAACGACCACAAATGCTTAAAAATAAAACAACTTTATTGTGTACTCCATCTTCAGGGGCCGGTTGTATATAAAAACGTAGTTAGCGCTAACTGCAGTTAAAAAGTAGTTAACAAGCCTTAAAAAAATAGTTAACTTTAATCACGTAGTTAAGCCGGTTGTATAAAAGTGTAGTTAGCGCTAACTGCAGTTAAAAAGTAGTTAAAGTTAACTATGCTTTAGGGTATAGTTAACTGTCCAAAACGTGGTTAAAAATGGCGTTTGTATAGGAGTGAACAACATTTTTCAGTAAAACAACAATGAAAAGCAACGCTTACCTGGGATTTTCAATCGCTATCTTCCCTGTGGTTCCCATCGCTTTGGTGTTTTTACGAAAACAGAACATATTTTTGCACAGGACGATTTCTCGAAGACGAAGTATGGTCCATTACACCAAGAAACACATCAATATAATTGCCAAACAGCTAGACCTTGGTTTAACGTAGACATCTCAAGGAAAACCTGCATTCTTTTATGATTTTTGTGGCGGTTTTTCCTTGTTTTCTTGTTTATTTTTTACTGTTTTCTAGTGTTTTGAATAAAATTCCCGCCTATTTGCAAAATGCGAGTCCACAATCATGTTGAAAATGTAGGTCAGCGGTCGTTACTCGCTGCTTACTTTATGTAATTTTGTGTTTAAACGCCCCACGCAAGCCCCACGCACAGTTAACTACGTGATTAGTTAACTATCCGACTAACTACGTTTTGTTCAACGCAGTTAAGTCATGTAGTTAACTAATTACAGTTGAAGATTTAACTACAGTGATTAACGCTAACTACAGTTAGCACTAATTACGTTTTTATACAACCGGCCCCAGGTGATAAAGATTGCCGTACGTTTAACCACAGATGAAAGATCATACCAGATGTCTCACTCTGTATCTATCCCTATGATTTTCGTGTCCGCGATTTTTGCATGACTGATCACGAATTGCACACGCCAGAACAGAGGGGACTTTCGTCGACACTGCATAAAAATTGTGCGGGCTCGTGAACTTTTTCCCGCAAATTTTGCTTTTCGATGTTTGGCTTACAATTTCTAAGGATGTTGAAGTTTATAGCATTGTGATTCACTGGCTTTTGAAAGCATCTGGGGACTGGGGTTAAACGTTTTGTTGTTGGAAGTTCTATAGGCTAACTCTTCAACAACCTAATGACTGTTTTTAAAAGCTTTTTAAAGATGAGTGGCGATATTTATGTTGGACTGTTTTCAGCAGATGCTTCGAAGAACATGATATAATCGGACCTTGTATCTTAAAAGTGTACTTGGAACAGTCGAACAAAGTGGTAAAGTTTGTTACCCGGTGTGTTGGGCATCATAATTCACAGGAATAGTATACAGCCGCGTTTAAACTGGCTATGAAATATCCTGAATACTTCGTCGAGTTCTCTACCGCCATGCATGTGACCTGTAGTTTAATGTGACACGCGTCTTTGAAAGGGCTTTACTTGACTTCAATCGACGTGCAAGGTATAACTTAGGTAAGTCAACATTTCTTTGTAATGCAAGCTACATTTTCATATCTTTAATGTGTGAATATTTTTAATTTTGTAAAATATTAAGCGCAATATGTTGTTGGAGAAAGTATATCGAGTGCTTCATGATAACGCTCAGATCTTGTATACAGATAATCGTATTTTATTCAAAATCTACCCTTTATCACCAGTTTTTTTATTCTTTTATGTTAAAGTAGGCTATACATAATCCTTGCCTTGATAACACGATGATCTACTCGATGAAAATTGGGCAAAGGGGCGATCTTTGCAGAGGAACTTGACCGCTCGGTGAAATCGATAGTTCAGAGACCTTATTTTAATTGTAGTATATATTTCGTGACAATTTGTTGGCCGATTTCTAGTTTATATTGTAGAACGGGTTCCTAGTGAATTAAGTTAATTGTCTATCTTCTAACGAGTAGTAATAAGCGCGATTCCTTTTTGTTAATGGATGTTGAAATCATTTTAGACTTTTCTTCATATATACAACAAGTACACTACCGAGTACTGAATCACTGTTTGCAAAGAAACTAGCCTGTATCACCTCCATAATTCCAGCTTATTTTTAAAGTCAAACAGTTTCTCCATGGATAAAAGTAGTTTTTATGGAGTAAAAAAAATAGGGTAAGTACGAATTTAAAGAAGGTCAATTTGCACTTGTATATCTCACTTCGAAAAAGATGTACATATAAAACAGGTATAATTGTACGGCGAAATTAAACTGCTGCAACAAAGTTTTTATTTCTACTTTCACGTTTTTATTCCAAAGCAAACACTTCTAAGGGGCTGTTTATATGGAAGCGAGCCAGCCCGGGTACCCGAGCTGGCTCGCATCCCCGAGATGAATTTCACCACGCGTTACATGAAACTTACATAAAGGGCTGGCTCTTCGTGTTCTAATTTTTTTTGGCGTAAACAACTCCATATATGGAAGTTGGTTCCTTATATGGGAGTTGTTTGTGCATTCTGAATTATTCTAATTATTTGCGCATGCGTATTTGCTTAATTTCCAGCCCTACTAGGAGGGCTAGCCCTTCCTGTTGCGTTTATATGGAAAACTACCCAGCTCGTTTACCCGAGGTCTCGGGTCACACGAAGCGGGACCTCGGTTAGGCGGGCCAGCTCGGTTCCCATATAAACGCAACATGAAATTTAGTAGGAAATATTAACAAAGACGGGATCCAGCCTAAAGCGAGCTAGCTCGGGTACCCGAGCTGGCTCGCCTCATATAAACAGCCCCTAAGTCGGAAATGCCTAAAATTGTGAGCGTAGAAACACTAAAGAAACAAGAAAACGACTTCATAACACGAGTAGTTTTGGCAAATTTGGTGTTTGTTTTTAGAATTCAGTCACGCGATCAACCCGCGCTCACGTGCACTCCACGCTTACGTTTCTCGCGCATGCGTAGACGGAAGTCCCCTCTGTTACACGCCAGATGACGCGTGCGACACTTACGGCCAAAATAGCGGCAATTGCTCACGCAATGTCACGCCATATTTTTGGTGGGATCCAGGCTCTTTTTTGTTTGACTACTCTGCCACCGACGACAAAGTTTTTATAAAAGTTATGTATCGATCAATTCGAAACTTCACCATCCCCCCCCCGGGCATACCCCGGGAATTTGACTTCAAGTCTTCTCCAGGGAGTAGGGAATTTGACGTTCTAGGTCTTCCATGTGGTGGGGCATTTGATAACGGGGTGGGGAATTTGAACCGGAAGTCTTAAAAATTTGCCCGTTTTCGCGTGCTTCCTGCATGCACAGAAAAGACTTCGCATTGGCGGCAAATACAGTTTTCTCAGATTTCGAAGGAAACGGCCTCAAATTTGTGAAAAACTGGCTCAAAGAAACGGGAATGGAAAATCTATGTGCTTCATTTGAAGGTATGTACTACATAATTGTGTAAAACTGTTAAATTTCCACAAGGTATCCAAACTTTTTACGTGGATTTTGCTATCTTGTCGAAAAACATTTCTGTATATTTTGTACTTTTTGTATTTACTGTTTCATAATTTTCGTGTGAAGGTCCCCGGGGCATTTGAACGCTTAATTTCTTGTTACAGTGCGGCATTTGAAGACATTTTTTGCACAGGAGGTGGAGAATTTGATCAGTCAAAATTCAAAAAGTTCAAATTCCCGGGGTCGGCCCGGGGGGGGGAAGGGTGAAATTTCGAATTGATCGATACATTATTGGCTTGCTTGGATTTTTAATATTGGATTTTAACTAATATAAGAAAGAAAAACAGCAAGCTCAATCACAAAAGATGTTTAAAAAGATGCCAAAAATGTACATCTAGCTCTTTTTTGAGTTTTTTTCCCACCGTTTTGGACAACTAACTGGTCTTAACTTTTTTCGAAAGACGCGGCCTCGACGTTTTGGACTTTTGGTGAGCAAAACTTTCAGTAAAATCGTCAAATTCAAGCTTTGAGAGACGGAGTTTGGTAGATATTGTTGCCTTAATGCTTTAACTTAAGTAGTTGAACATATAAGCATCAAATAGTTAAAGTGAAATATACTGTAAAAACAGACATAGCCATAGGCATGGTTCATACCAAGTTTTTGCCTGTCTATCATTCTCCAGGCAACATAAACGTATTATTAAACTCGAAAAGAAATCTTTATAATAGATTACATACCAACCTAGGTCCTGGAAAGACGAAAGGATTGTTGTTTTTTGGCCTTTAATAGTTCAATCCTTAACACACAACTTGTGGGAAATTTTTACACAAAATTACGAGTAATAAAACAAGTTAGATGTCCAGCAATGTTAAGAAAACAAATTGAAGTAGATATATTTAATTTTGAAAACGTTTCGTGCGTTTTAGGCTTTTTTTAGTCACGTTTTTTCACTCAAAAACAAATATATAGAACAAATAAAATGTACATTCATTCATTTACATCCAGTAAATTTCTCGGTCAGTGACTAGAAGATGGCGTCATTGCTTACGTCATGATCACGTTTGATGGCGTGGCTTACACTTAAGGCTGCATTCCAGTTACGGCGTTTTTCATACGTGCGTACACGCACGTAAAAGTTGAATTCGCTTTAAAATTTCATATATATGCAAATAACCTTAACAAATACACATTAAATCATACACAAAACTGAATGCTGTCCTTTTATAAATTTAGTTATTTCATAAGTAGAATGTAAAGCGAATTCAACTTTTACGTGCGTGTACGCACGTATGAAAAACGCGTAACTGGAATGCAGCCTTTACTGCCAAAATGGAGGCTTGCGCGTGCTTATAAAAAATCGCGCACACAATTTTTGCTGAAAAGAGACATCTGGTATGATCTATAATCTGTGGTTTAACCGTTTCACTCGCAATCTACTTGCGCAATTTGCTTGCGCGAGCATGCAAAGGTGACGTGTCCGAGAAATTTAAATTAGCCAAATAATTAGAACGAAGTATCTTTTTAAGTTAAATCACAAAATCTACAACATCAAATTGTCCATTCAAATCCGGTTTAAGTTTTTGAATTAGGGCAGCTTCTGTGATTTTTCGCTCATACGAATCACTTGTTTTCTCTAGTATTCTTGCTATAAGTTTTGGCTTTTGACCCTCATGACACGCCTTATAATGTTTTGAGAAGGCCATGTTCTTATATGATTTTGCTGTTGGATTCGCTGCAGATCGGCAGTGCTCTTGAAACCGTACAGTTAATGGGCGACTTGTCTCACCAATGTACACACCATCGTCGTCTTGGCAAATGTCACATTTGAAGGAATAGACAACATCTTTCTGCGAACAGTGGGTTGAAGGTATTGATGGCGACTTTCGACAGACGTTGCATTTCTCTGTATCAAATCATTTGTCGTAAAGCCTTGATTCGACGAGGTGATTCTTCAATGAACTTTGGGGACGCTGAATTAGACGAATGTCCAAGTTGCTTCGCTTTACCGCTTTCTTTATGTCGTTGGTGAATGCATCTGAGATGTTATGATGTTGAGGGGTTTTCTTAGGTTTCAGGTTTGGATTGACGTACGGCTGGTTGTAACCGTTCCTTTGGGCTCTTGTCTTGAAGGATTGCTCAGCTTCTTGAAGTAAGGCGTTGTTGGAACATATAGAAGTGTAAGTATTGACGATGTTGTTAATGACAGCGCATTTGACGTAATCAGGATGGTTGGATTTTGCATTTAACATCAGACCCTTGTTTGCTGGTTTCGTGTACCGGCCAATTTCTACGATTCCGGAATCGTTTACTTTAGCTTTGGTGTTTAGGAAAGGTAAAAAACCATCTTCACCAGGTAGTTCGATTTATGTATTTCATCAATGTAACGATAGTAAAGTGAAAGGGAAAGATCTGCGTAGATGGCTTGGTTCTCAATTCTGTCAAGGAAGAGGATGGCAAGGATTGGTGCTAGGCGAGTTCCCATCGCCAAACCTCGAAGTTGGCGATAGTATCTTCTTTTCCACGAAAAACAGTTGTTTCTGAAGATGGATTTGGTGAGAAGCAAGTCTGAAACAGGGAAGTAACACAGCGTGAGTGCGTAGGGTATCAATGGCTGCATTGTTGTTTACACTAGGGTACAAAGAGACCACGTCCAGGCTAAATAGGATCTTGCTCTTCAGTTCTTCGTTCTTTACACTTTGTAGATTTCTTAACAGCTGTTCCGTGTTCCACAGATGTGCTTTTACGAACTGGAGTAGTGGGTTACATATGACTTGTATGAGCCATGATACTTTATCAACAGGACCACCGTAACCAGAGATGATCGGTCGAACTTTAATAACGTCAGGATCGGAAGTCGGTACGTCGATACTTCCATTCTCGTAAAGAGTTCTCAGGTAGACAACAGCTGCAAATGCGCGTTCTGAAGCGTCGCTAAAACCATGAATCTGTACTACGGCCGGTTTGAGGTTTGGCAGGAAATAACATCTCGATATTGGAACTTTGTTTAAGAATGCTAACTCTAATCTAAGATTGTTTATTGTTGCGCACATCTTCTCGTCCACTTTCTCATCCCAACTTGTCTTAGGTAAACATCTGAGTTCTTGAAATAGCATTTTCAACTTAATTGTGAATGGCGTTAAGAAACCTAATGGTTCGAAAATCTTCGAGGACCACAATAGAACGAACGTTTTGTAATTGGTAACGATTTAGCGTACTCGATCAATTCTTCGAAATTGAATAACAACATATCCGTATCAGTACCATATCCGTACCATACTAACAACATATCCGTATCAGTACCGTATCCGTACCATACTTTCCCCAGAACTTTAATTGTATTTTACTAGCTTGCGGGTGCAGATTCTTGTGCTATCGATTCTTTCGCATACGATAAATCCTCCTCGATAACGCCATGGTTGTCTGGAGAGCTTGAAACAACCTTATCCTCTAAGGCATTGATAAAATTCATCAAACTACTCGAATTTGAATGCCACATTCGTAATTTGAATCCGCCGGTTGACATTATTTCTTTGGATTCTTCGTAAATTTGGAATGCCTTTTCATCATTCTGCACAGCCGCCAACAGATCATCAACATACAAGGATTCTCGAAAATGTTGTATCATTTCCCGATTGTTCTCTTGTAAATTGTCTAGATGATGATCAATAGTCGCCCCTAGAATAGCTGGTGATGGACTCAAACGAAACACTAATCGGCAAAATCGTAATTGAATTAATTCAGGGTCATGATGTCCAATGTTCATGAACCACAAAAAAACGTAGCACATCGCGATCTTTGTTGCTAATCCCTACCATTAGGGACCGTTAATTATTAATACAGGAGGAGGGGGGCTAGTATGAAATGTGGGGGGGGGGGGTCAGACATTTCTGAGCATATACAGGGTGTATAAAAAAAACTGAACAGATTTGAAATTGCTCTCAATTTCGCAAAACAGCTATTAGTATCCCGTTTTTGATGTATATAGCTTCTTTGGGTACTTATAATGTAGAATAATGAAAAAATTTCTCAAATTCAAATTTTGTGAACCAGGGGTGTGTGTCTTTTCCAACAAAATAAAAATGGCTTGCGCACGAAATTTAAAAGCTTTAATCATATTTTGAGTTGATAGATGAAAAATTTGTTGGGTTTTTAATTACTGTACAAAATTTCAGACAATTTGCTTTAGTTTAAGCCCTTTAACTATTCATTTGTTTCTACAAAATCAGCCTTTCGCATGCTTAATTGTAGTGCGTCTACAGTAAGTGGGGCCACTTAGAGAACACTAACCAATCGCATTGCAGAACAAAAATCGAAAAAATCAACAAACGGCGCATTAGCCAATCAGCATTAGGCCAAAAACAATTTTAACAAATAAACGAATATCAAACGGTAAAAATAGACTTGAAAAGTAAACATCGCAGTTAATGGCTTCCTGAAGCTTTCTTTTGATTGGACGAGCTTTAGTTTGATTAGATTTCTATTTTTGTTCTGCATTGCGATTGGTTAGTGTTCTCTAAGTGGCCCCACTTACTGTAGACGCACTGTAATGCCTTTACCTAATTTGCATATTGCTGACATATGCAAATTAGGCAAAGGCATAATTAAGCATGCAAATAGCTTGCGTGAATAGTTACCTTTAACTAGACTAAATCAAATTGTCTGATATTTTGTACAGCAACTAAAACGCCCACATATTTTTCATCTATCAACTCAAAATATGATTAAAGCTTTTAAATGTCGTGCGCAAGCCATTTTTAGTTTGTTGGAAAAGACATCCCCCCCTGGTTCACAAAATTTGAGTTCGAGAAATTTTTAATAAGTAACCAAATAAGCTATATACATTAAAAACTGGATACTAATAGCTGTTTTGGGAAATTGAGAGAAAATTCATATCTGTTCAGGGTTTTTTTATACACCCTGTATTTTAGGGGGATGTAAGAATTTTTTAATGATATTTGGTATCATGTGACATACGAAAAAGAGCTGTAATAAAATAGTTTTCATTTACCCATGAGGTGCAATGGTCTCTCCCTCACAAGTAAAATCACCTGGAGTTGATTATAGACCGAGTAAAATAAACAAAGTAGGGTGCACCAAGACACATTGCTCCTGGTTATATAGTGCTATCAGAGTAAATATAATCTATGAGTAGTATAAGAGTTGAGATCGTAATTATTCTTTTAATATACAGTATGACCAATACATGCCAAAGAATATTCAATTCATATCTTATATTCATCAGCCTTTTTATATGGAAAACGTATAAAATATTAATTTGTGGTAAAGAAAAGAAAGAGGGGAGATGTAAATATTTCAAACCGTAGTCGAGGAGGCGCTTTATGTTTTCCTTTGTCTGGTAGAGGGGGATGTATACTTTGCTATTGCTTTTTTCAGATCCTTACCAGCCCACTCCCCCATTTGTATTAGGGAGTTTAAGCTTCTCGTTTCCGGAAACGGCAGGTTCGAACTTTCATAGCAAAATTTTCGTCGAACGTTTTCGTTTCATCTTTTCTTTCTTGCGTCGAAAGAATAATTGTGTATTTCAGTTTAAAACAGCAAGTTTATTTACTCTTTATTGCCTGATACCGTAAAATTTTTCTTTGCCTGGCGTTTTCCGTTACGTTTGACGTATATAAACGCAAAGCTTAAACTCTCTAATAATAATGAACGGTCCCTTAGGAATTCTTTTTCGATATCCGCCACCAATCCAATACGATCAGCTCTGAATTTTACAAGCATTTCAAAAATCTGAGAAATATAATTAGTTCCGGTCGACAAACAGTCATTAAGCGAATTTTCTCGATCAGCTGTCGTTGCCGAACCGTCATAGACTACCCGTAACTTGGTCGTGCCTTTGTCGTTTCGGTTAACTCCATGATGCGGAAGATAATGCACACCTTCGTGATTCTTGTTGCCTTCCGTGGCCAGGACCTTTTCCACGATACCTGCCTGGATTTGATCTTCGATGCACATGTTATACTTTGACATTGGCCGTTTTTATACTAGAGACGCATTATGCGTCTGGACGCATAATACGTCTTCTACATTATTCGTCTAGTATAAAGACGGGACGAATAATACTAGACGAATAATGTAGAAGACGGATTATGCGTTCAGACGCATAATGCGTCTCTAGTATAAAAACGGCCAATTGCGACGAACTATCAACATTTATTGTTCGTCTGGTTATGCGTCCTCAGTATAAAGACGGGCACAAGACACATTATGCGTCTAGACGAACTATCATCGGTTGTGCGTCTCTTAAGACGAAGAATCGAACATAGTTCGTCTAGACGCATAATGCGTCTTGTGCCCGTCTTTATACTAAGGACGCATAACCAGACGAACAACAAATGCTTGCCCAAGTTCAGACGCATAATGCGTCTCTAGTATAAAAACGGCCATTATAGCTCTGGCTATTTCTTTAATTTACGGTGAAGCAACTTTAAATTAAACGATTGTAACAGAGATCGAAATCATTTCCAATTTCCAGTCTATTCTTCAATCCATGGCAATCCAACCCTGTAACGTTCTCCTGTGAATCGTATATCTTTCAAGAAATTGCTTCCGACCGGGCTACCTGCTTCCTCAATTGACTTAATTCCGATACTTTCGGTTTCCCAGAAACGTGAAAGTTTCGCCATTGCTGTCGGTCTGCGCGTGGGAGTTGTCGATACATTCTCAAGCTAAGATAAGGTTGCTCGTTGTAGACTGGTAGGTAGAATTCTGCATCGAAAGTCCAGACACGAGCCACCTTAGTTTACTATACTAATAGCTGTCGGGCTATTATCTCCTCGAACAACGTCTCCAGTAACTATGCTCCAATAGAAATCGGCACCGACTAGTATGTCAATGTTATCATTGCATGTTCCGTTTGCATCGAAATCTGCAAGCTCTAGTTCCTGAAGATGTATTAACATTTATGACATAACTGACAATTGCTCTAAGCTCAACGCTCTCATTCCCCCTCGTACTTCCCTAACTTCGAATATTGAACATGAAAAGTTCACAATTATCACGTTTTGTTTGGCTGTTTCCAAATGTGTTTAAATACAATGTCTCTCGTTTCACTGGTGTTAGCTTTAGTTGCTTAGCAAGATCGTTAGTGACGTACGACCGCTGACTACCAGTGTCGAATAAAATGCGCACGGACTTTGACCTAGAACCATTAGTCGCAACGGCTCTCGCAGTTTGCAGCAAGACGCTGCCCTTACATACTCCAGTTAAGGTAGCAGTCCTTGTTTCACCGTCGTTTCTTGTTTCGCATTTTGTTCCTCCATTTGTTTTTGCTCAGCTTTCGAGTTCGACTTATTACGACAAATTGATAAATTAATTGATGTACTATTTAAAGCACGCGTAGGAGTGTTTTTATCAGATATATCTGATAAAACACGACTACAAGTGCTTTAAATGGCTTAAAAAACGACTCATCTTATACGAGTTCATTGGCGAAGTAATTTTTAAAATAAACTTTGTCTAAACCGAGAAAGTCAAAGCTAAAGTTTATGTAAATTAACATGATTTTTTTATCACATATAAAACCACGACAGGCTTTTGATTTTTCTTTGTGTTTTCCTCCTGAATTATTAATGAGTTTTTAAGGTGTTTTCCTGAGTGAGTGAGTGAGTGAGCAGTAACGGCATTTTTTAGTATTTGCACAAACATTCGCTAGGTGTCCCTTTTATCATAGACATAACATAGTTGTCGTGATCGATTGCTCGTACAAGCTTGAATTTTTAAAATTTCGTCCATGTGGGTCGATATCGACTGTTGGGTTTTCCCAAATCATTCTTGTAATATTTGAACCGCAGCGTCATAGTTTGCCCCGGTTAACGTAAGGCCTAGCCTTCTCCGCAGGCATCGCCTTTCGATTATAGGGCAAAATTTCTTGCAGGCAAAAAAATTAATAGCGGCGATGCCTGCCAAAACCCGAAGACTTTGGACCAGCTATGTAACCCTTATGGACCGACTATGTTACCCCCACTCCCACGGGATTAATGTCAAAAGCTGTGTTACCCCTACTCCCATAGGATACGATCTTTTTATATTCAGACACAATTCATTTTTATGTTGCAAATTATTACAAATATGAATGAAACATTGATTATTTTGCACTTACAACGGATGGCCGGAATTTAACGAAATCCAGATGGTCAAACCACGCCGAAACTATGTAAATCGTATCGAGCGACGAAGTGTGAAATGTGAATGGAATTTATAAGAATTTTTGCAACCGTTCAATTTATATTTGGTCTCGGTATCCTACATGCATATAACATCAAATATTAATACTTTTGGGAAACGGAATACTCTAGAAGGCAGATCAGATGGAGTGGTAAATGTCAAAATTTCAACTGGATAATGGATGCTCTTGCCTCTTGGAATTGTCTATTACTGTTATATAGTTTAGTGGATGTGCATGACATTGAAACTGGTTTGTCTACACAATTTTGAAATATTTCAGGAATTTGAATTTACAATCCCATGTGTTTTTAACTACGCTGTATGTTACTAGTTAGCGAGAAATATCTCCGGGATTTGTTGAGTACATGTACAGCATGTAAACAATGTAAACGCTGAGTAAACTGCTTATTGCTGACAGTTTGTGCTGTAACACAAATTTCAAGCTACTATTGTGCAAGTTGACCAAATGTAAGAAGTGTTTATATTCAATAATTATAAATCAAGCAAAGTTATACAATTTATATTGTTGCTGTAGTATGTTAGATGTTACGCTCAAGATTATTCTACTGCATTACTGCATGGTATTAACCAGCCTGCCATCCAGCTGACTAAAATTTTAAACAGCCATCTAAAAATTTGGATTGTCACTTGAAAACTGATAAAAAACATGCCTTTACGCCACAAAAAGAGATACACCTCCATGTATAAATAGTACAGGGATCAATCCAGCATGATCTGGTAGGGGGCTGCTCTGCCAGCTCTGGTGCAGAGTTGTGTCAGTCATATGTGCCGCTCGCCCATCAACATAATGTATTTGAATTGTAATTGTTGTTCACAGTTTGCTTATCATCATGTTATTGCTCAAATTACTGTATCTCATTTTGTCTCTACTGATTTTTTGCTTATCATGAAAAAAGCAACCACTCCTGTCAGGGCTTGGAGGGTGCACCCCCCCCCCCTCCTGTAGTAAATCTGCAACATGCAATGCAATTTCTGATAAAAGGCGATGTGATTTAAAAATAAGTCACAGGGAAATTGTGAGCATGGTCCACAGTTTACACTACATTTATTTTTTATCCCATTTCTTCCATTTTTCATCCATTAATTAAAAATATGTTATATTGTAAAGAAAGTGTCGGCAGAATAGGATGCTGGCCATGTTCAATTATGTCACTATTTTATCTGGCAGGTTATGACATGCTTGATCAATGTTGTCATTGACAATGGTTGCTTGACCATGTGTTGTAGCCTTGAAGCTGCTAACTGTACAAAGTAAGCTTTGCTGTTCACACTTTCTAGGATTCAGCACCTTAGTCTCTATCTCAGTCATGCAAAATAGCACCTAGTTTCTTGTATAGAAATCCTGACAATTCAACATCTTCATTTGGATTAAAAAAAATTATATTATTATAATCATCTACCACGTTATTGTTTAACTGCTGGATTGTACAATGCAATTCACACCATGCAGGTACTGGACACTAGTGCACACATGAAACACGACATAGTATATAGTATAGTTTAAGTGAATATAGTAAGTGAATCCAGCTAATTTTAGATTTCAGACAGTGGCGTTACCTTGGATGTTGCTTCACGAATTGGCATACTCGGCCAATATGACAACCAAACACCAGACCAAGGCTTTTTCACTCAAATCAATCTGGCTCTTGCGTTGGTTTCTATTAACACTGGGTCCACAATTATCATGCTGAAATATATTTTATCTTGTTACATTTCTACACATCCTATGTAGGGCAATTTTGTCCTGCTTCTAAGAATCATGAACTAACTGTACATGATAATTGTACTATTTTAAATTATTATGCCAGCCATTTAAAACACAAAACAACTAATTGATCCAAAAAAATATTATGAAATTAAATGCATTTCATTGTGATACTAACACAAAGTCTACCTTTATAGTGCTTAAAAGATTACAACAATATTTCTATTTCCATCTACAGACGCCACAGACTACAGCTTATACAAAATATATGTCAACCTTGATGGCAACTGACAACATGTAAATTATTTAATGACAATTTTAATTTCCGAGTTAAGATTCTTTCAATTGTCCACAAAAGCTGTATTCTTAATCGTTTAACCGCCTTTAGCGACCGTATTAATACACATTCACTAATTCTCATAATTCTTCACTCCATGCAATCCGCCATCTTGGATGACAAATCCTCCCCACGCGCATACCCTAGATACGAAATCGCTGCGCAAGCAGGATGCGCAGAACGGCTCAACCATGTCGGGTTTTGGCAGGCATCTCACCGATTTTCTGAAGTACGTGAACTACGAGATGCCTGCGGAGGAGGCTAAGTAAGGCCCTTTATCATTCGCTCTGCATTTCCTTCAAGCAAAGACAGTAAATAGTTAAATTTGTTTACTTTCGAGACACTCGGATTACTGTGAATTGCGGAGTCATATAGATCCCAAAATGAGTTCCACTTGGTTATTTATTTGACCTCCAAATTTAGGGAGTTCTAATTTTGGCAGCTTCGGTAAACTTGATATAAATTTCCCGGGCGTTGTTGTCGTATTTGTAGTTGTTGTTCGCTGTAGGGAAGCCAGACTATTGAATGAATTAAGAGTCGTATTTTCTTCGATTTCGTTTCCCACCGTCGTATTCGTTGTGCTTGTTGAACTTTTGATTGCATTCGTTGTATTTCTCTGTTCTGCAGCCGAGTTCAAGTTCGAATTCGCGTCGTTTATAGTCGTATTAATATTATCGTGATTTTTGGTGGCTTTTGCTTGCTTGTTGATTTTTTGCTTCGTTTCTGATATTCTATCCGATATTTCGGCTGATTCTTCGATCTCTACTCCGATTTCGCTCACATCGCATAAGTTTAAAATTTCCTCGTCGATTTGGGTTAATAATGTCACATTTTCTTTGAGCTGGGCAGCTATAATTTCGCATCTTTCGATATTTTCTGCTCCGGGTGTCTGAAGCAGTTCCATCGCTTCTTTCATAAATTTTGTTAGACTGCGAGCGGTCTCTCGCCTTGTGCGCGCTATCTCTGGGGATCGAATCATGAAGGAATTGCACAATGATTTTGTGACCTGCGAGTAGGTGGCCTGATCAGTTTGGGTTAGGGATGGGGTTATGGAAGGATAAGGTTCCGGTTTTATTGAGTGGAAACCACCGCTTGCCATTTAAACCAACCAATCAAATTAGTTCATGGACAAATAACCGAAGCTATTTAATTTCCATTACCGGACAAATAACAACTCAGTGCAGATGATGATAGTTGCATAACTGGCATGCGCATGTACATGTATGAGTTGATGTGAATTCTTTTGACATTAATGCTTTTATGTAAATGCCCTATATGAAATCGTTTTAACTGCCAACTGACAAATTGATATCTTGGGGAAAATAAATAAAACTAGAGAGTCCCAGCAATCAGGCCTAGAAAAATGATTAAAAATTTGCTGCATGTAAACCAAAGTAAGACTTTCTACACAGCTAGATCTCAGATAGAGTGTTGTAGCATCACCTTCTAATAAAGACACGAGTACACGCCTAAAAATATAGATTTTCTAATCCAATTGAGAACAGCAGTATATATCGGTAATATGTTTTCTTGGTGATTTTCAAATCAACCAAGAGAAAATACCTTTGCAACTTTGTGGCAAGGTGATATGCTGAATCTCTTTCAAGAACTTCACAAATATCGGATTCTTCTAGTGGTTCCTTGCTGCCTTTTTTGAAGATGCCATTCATCCAGCTAAAAAGCAACAAAAATTCAGTACAACGGTAACTCCGGATAAAGAACAATTTTTTAAATATTCTATGTACCGATTATAATATAATAATCAGCCAGGCATGGATCAGGATAATAATTATCATAATTAACTGTGTATTTCGAGTAAAATTTATAGCGCTATTTTCTGACCAAATGTACACCACATGGCAATAATTCTGCATGCATGTACCGAATACATGCATGCATGATTGTATACACTATACAGTAAGAATTATTGACCTGGATGAACTGTAGAGCAACAGGTGTTCAAAACCAGTACGTATTTATTTCCATATTCCATTGCATGTGTATCTGTTAAATTCCCATTTGCAATAAATTATTTAAAACTTAGAAAAGAGTGTTTTGGTGACTGAAGAACCTCTTCTGATAGAGGTTAGACGACAGAGTCAACAATCACATTAGACCATGAAACGGAGTAGAACGATACCGTACAATAAGGGCAAAGGAGTCTCCACTTCATGATTGAGCAACATCTTATTTTGAGACTGGAAATGCATGCATGATATGGCATGCAACAAACCCCTCGCCTACATTTTCCAAACATCGTTTCAACATGAAGAATTCTTAATTACGCCAACACTGAACGCAGGCTCGCGCTGCTCGCGTCAAGTTAGCCATGATGAAAACTGTTTAGAAAATTTACTGATGTATTGAGGTTATATACTTTCTATATCAATCAATCAATCAATCAATGTAGTCATACATGTTGTACCAAGGCAAGGGAACCCTGGTACCAAGCTGAACTTTGTTTAAAGTGCAATGGCGTGTTCAAATCAAATCACCTGTATAATATCCTGTATAGATAATCTATTAAGTCTGTTTCATTATATCTGGGCCTAGGTGGATGGTGGATGCCACATATTAGCATGACATGGTTCGATGGAAGTTCAGCTGCAATGCTAATGACTTCAAAATGTTCCGCTTGATTAATTGAAGCAATCCTGATGTTATTATATACAAAGCCTTCCTTTCTCATGTCATTTCTAAATGGTAATGGTAATAGTAATTTTTTTAAACTTTACAAATCACTTACATATAGCCTGACCCATATAGTCACAGTTGTGAGTCAAGACTAATTTTTTACCTAACTACAATTAATATTGATTATAAGACCACAGTTCTCTGAATAAAGCAGGTCCCTTATCTACACTGTCACGAATTAGTAGCTAATAGAAGTTGAGCTTTTCAGGGAAAGGCCAGTTATTATTTCTTTTACAAAATATGTAGAAAGTGGCTCGAAGTGCAACCTCCATATATTTTGTTATGATACGATCGTCTTGCAAATTTATTAACCTACATAGCCTACATGCTGGTGTCTGTTTCGTGCTCTCGTAAATTGATTATCGATACGCCATTAGTAGAAATGGTATCCATCTATCCTAGTCTCTTTGATTTTGTTCCACAAATATCGCAAGCTGGTTTTCCAAAGTTTGACTGAATCTTTCCACCATCCCATACAACGCGGTTGTTCGAGTCTTGTCAATTTCCAACAGTTCGCACATTCTCTGGAACAGCTGTGCCTCGAAGTTGCGTCCTTGGTATGAGTGTAACTGAAGGGAAACGCCAAAACGAGAAACAAACTCTTTTATAATCACTTCTGCCACAGTCTCAGCTTGTTGATTTTCTCAGTGGATATGCCTCCACCCACTTTGTAAAGTAATCTCCAAGGATTAGGATATACTTACTGCCACTAGAAAACGTTGGTAAAGGACCCAACACATCAACTGCCACTCTTTCCAGCGGGGCGCCAGCATTGAATTGCTTCATCGGCCTCTCTGACGTTTACTCGGTCCTTTACGAAAACCACATTTATCACACTTCCGGCATCATTCTTCGACGCACTGTTGGCAGTTTAGCCTGCTTGCAGACATTGCATACTGCATACTGTATTCAATTCCCTTTGTTTTAGGAGCCAATCATCTGGCAGTGTTCAAAAGAGTTAGAGCCAATTGGAAGCCGCCTTATTGAGGGATTAGCTACTGGGGAAAGCCCTTGCACATGGGAATATATTGTCTGGGTTGAAATTTGTTTACTTGCATGGGTATATTTTGGAAACTATAGCGTTGAACTTCACGATGTGTACGTAAAATAATATTGTAATCATCTTCTTGCATGTTCTGCAAACAACCGGTGTATATAAAATGCAAAAGCAATTTAAATTTTTGTTAACAATGACAAACAAACAATCGGGAAACTCGAGTATACCAGCCATCAGGATATGTCCAAATGTTGCTCTTGATACTTCCTATATGCCAAGATTAAGCTCTCGTTGTCATGTAGAAACGTATAGCCAAGTTAGAGTATAAACGTTTCGAAGTTTGGGCGAATTGGAAAATTCATCTCGGCGCAATTACAAGTTTCTCGGGTTTGTGTTGTGTTTACAGTTTACATCAGAAGTGGTTGCTCAAACGGCAAATTAGTTTACTTTGAAGCTAATATTTGGCTTTCTAAGCCACAGTATTATATAAATTTTCTATCTTCCGAGTTCTGTTGTCTTATAAAGATAAAAAACATCCGTCAAATTTCAGCGAAATATATTCGGCATTTGATGCTGTCTGGCCTAGATTCATACAGATTACAGTATAAATATGCCATCCTGTCCGCGTTTTAAATATAACCGAACATCTTCATTATCCATATCTGATCATTAATAGTGCATTTTATTACCTGGATAACAAAATTCAACCGATGACTGCTTTCAAAATATTTATTTATATTTATTCCGCTCCTAAATCAAATGACGTCACTTTCCAGAATTTGGAAGGTAAATTCTGATTGGTTGACGTAGCGGAATTCATTCTGGCGCTCGGGTAAGCAGACGTTAGTTTTTTGTCGCTTGGCGTAAGAATAACAACGTCTGCAAGCAGGCTATCGGCAGTTCGGCCAAAAGAATCTTTAGCCAGTGTCTTCGTGACACCAAAATGACCACCTGTGGGACTGTTGTGAAGCTGCTGAAGGTCTGCTCCTCGCAATACTTGCGCGACAACCAGTTGCCAAAGCGCTAAGCTGCGTCGTTGTCCACGATCCTGTACAATCTTCCTTCGTGTAGTTTCAATGCCTCCCACTGGCGCCAGTACGACTTCACGGCAGTACTACAGGAGGACAATTTTCGCCATTCCGGCTTCGTTAGTGACTCCTCCAACCACGTTGTCATACAACGGATTTCAGGATCGGAACGCTGTGCTTGTCCAATACGTTCGAAACACGGTTGATCACTTGTAACTGCGCGAACCTGGTGCCCAGCCGTGCTCACAACGGAATGCTGATAGTCTTCTTCCTGTAACTGCCATTCCTTTTTTTATTATTAAAAAAAACACTAGCGGCATCCGTTGTGGTCACATGGTCTGCTGGACAAGGCGCGGTGTTCGACATCAAAGTTGTATTGCTGTAGTTTCTGCAACCACCTCGCCATTTGTCCTTCTGGATTCCTGAAGGAGAGGAGCCACTGTAGAGAAGCGTGATCAGTTCTTATCAAAAACGATTCCCATAAAGGTAAGGTCCGTCCCTTTAACCACCGCCAACAGCTCCCTTCTGGTTACACAGTACTGACTTTCAGGTTTACTCAGGGTCTTACTGAAGTAGGCAATAGGCAATTCCGCTCCGTCGACAACCTGCGAGAGGACACCACCAATGGCTATGTTGCTGGCGTCTGTGTCAAGAATGAATGGTTTCTGGAAGTCAGGATATGCAAGTGTGGGTGTCTTTGTAAGATGTTGACATTTTTAGATAAAACCCTGTCTGGACAAGGATAATGATTGGATAATATTTTTAGAATATGATGCATATACATTTTTGCATTCCTTATCCGAACCAGGAATCGCTAACAAATTCACCAGAAATTTTTCCTTTTTCTTCGCGCGTTTTCTCGCAGTTCGCGTTCGCCAAACCTAAAAAACCTCTGGGCCAGGGTATTTAAGCGACGATATTCTTCACAAAATCTGGTATAGCCGTCCTTTTTCCTGACAAGAACAATAGGCGAGCTCCAGGGACTGGTGGATGGTTCGACTATGCCTTGCTTTTCCATATCTTCAATGGCTTTGAGCGCTTCTTCTCGCCTGGAGACTGGAATTGTTCTTGGTGGTTGTTTCAGAGGCGCAGCATTCCCCGTGACGATGTCGTGTCTCACACCCGTCGCACGTCCAAGATCCTCCGATCCCTTGGAGAACACATCTTGAAAACATACCAGCAGCTCCACAACCTTCTCTCTGTCACGGTCACAAAGATTTTCCGTGCTACTCTCATACAAGGATTGTAAATGGTCTTTTACAGGTTCTTTCTTCGAAGTTTGGAGATACTCCTTTTCTTCGTTAGCCATGTTCGTGGGCGTTATACTCGCTGCAGCTTCACAAACAGCCATCTCAGTTCCTTTCTTTAGTTTCTTCCGGCTGGATGACAAGTTTCCAACCCTTACAGGGATGTAATCCTTGTCCAGGTCGACAACGTAACGGTTCTCCCAACAATGTCGCCGTCCCTTTGTACCAAATTTGGTGGACCAGTTACATTCCATCGAACACCACCTCAGTCACCTTCACATTTAGCGAGAATGACCATTTCGGTAAATGGTGGCACTTTCACAGCTTTATCCAGAACCACTCATAGACATTTAAACTCCTCCCCACCCATTCGCAGCGAAATCTCTGTTTCGCCTATTCGAAGCGTTTGTCTTGGATAATCAATGATGCAACCCTCCTTCTTCAAAAAGTCTGCGCCGAGGATACACTCTTCTTGAATATAAACAACCCATAAATCCAATTTAGAAACCGTTTCACCCAACGTAACTTCCAGAGCAACTCGTCCGATAACGAGGAATATTTGTCCGTCCAAACCTCTTATAACTCCATCAATAGACACAGTTTTGACTGCTGCGGCAGAGTCCAATTTATGAAATACTCGATAACTCAGTGTGGGTCACGTCAGCACCAGTGTCTACTACGAACTGACAGGGCGTATTCTTAATGAATCCAGATACCTTCAATGTTCCACCGCAAACTTTTATTTCCATAGGGGCCTTTCTACTTTCCACACTGGTCGAGCCTTGGCCCTCTAGCTCGACAACTTCCCGTTTCCCAACCGTGGTTTTTCGGAAGCTACGCGCCTAGGCTTTCTTTGTTGCTCTTCTCTCTTTGCTTCCACTTCTTTACTAACTTCGTTCTTAGGCTCGTTCGTTTGTTCTTCGCTTTCTTTTGGACAATTCCTCCGCAGATGGCCAGGTTCACCACAGGACCAACATTTGGGCGACGTCTTGGATTCTTTGTTAATTCTTCCAACAACCGATCAATCATTAATTCGAGGCGTTTGATATTTGAGTTTTCGTCACTTTCTGGAGGGACATCTTCATCGACTTTGCGCACGTTCAAAGTATAGACCCCGAGGAGCTCTATTTCGGTGTGGAGAAGCCAATTGGAAGGATTCTAATTTCATGGCGTTTTCCAGTGCTGCTTGGAGGGACTGTGGTCTTGCTTGACGAACCTTTAACCGTATGTCCTCGTCCTGTAGAGCATCGATAAAGTTATCTTTAGCGATAGTGTCCTGAAGGTCTGACGAAGCATCAGGGTACGCAGCTCTCGTTAGAGTCTCTACGTTTTCAGCTACAGTGTAGCTCTGGCTTGACTCTTCTTTGCCTCTCAATCGACATTTGAATTTAGCTCGGGCCAATTGTGATTGATGAGCCATCCCAAACCGTACGGTAAGAGCAGTCACCAACATGTTATAATCCCGCTGTTCTTTATCGGACAGACTACCCAACACCATCGCAGCTCTCCCCTCCAACGCCGTTGCCAGAAAAACAGCATTATCATCGTCTTGCCGTCCATTCATCTCTGCAGCAATGTCAAACTGAACTTGAAATACTTCCCAGGATGCTTTGCCACTAAACTTCGGGGCCGCTTGAACTATTTTTTTGCTTCCGTAGCGAATTACTCTCCTTAACTTGCTGACTTGAATCACGCGTTTCGTTGACAGACAAATCTCGTCTGCCCGTTTTCATTTCTGTAGACTAGGCTTTTAGAATCTCTAGTAAACAAAGTTTTCTAACGTCATTTAATTTGCCTTGAAAATCAGCCACGGTTGACTGCAGTTCTTTATCGAGGCCCTCTACAGCGCTAAGTCAAATCTCTCCGAAAATGCGTACGTATACTTCGAATTTCCGCAGATGATGTTTCAAGTTGACGTTCTATCTCTGCATACGAACGCAATGAAGCCGTTAAACGTTCAATGTTTCCTTTTACAATGTTTATCTCAGTCTTCAAGTCGGCCTGGCTGTTTATCCAAACAACCGTGTCCTGTGATTCTAAACGCTCAATTCGCTCAGCTAACGCAGGATTCTCCCCAAAATTTGCTTATATAATTCTTTAAAGAATGAGTATCACGGTAATGCTTTGCGCGCTTTTGTTTATGTTTACATACGGGAAATTTCTGTATCACGTGCACATTCACTTTACAATTTGCATAATATTACGTATATTGCGTTAATATTTCACAAATTTTGGTCCTTTCGAAGAACATTTTAGTATTTTTTTATATAAAATGTCTGAATCAGAGTCTGATCAAGATTTGAATGTGTCGCAGTACGATGTAGAGGACAATCTAAATGCGTACGGATCACCCACATACAGGGCGCAAGAAGCAGCTGTTTGTAGAACGCATGTGAGTATAAATACCCTTTAACAGTTTCCTCGTTGTTTGTTTTATGATAAATAGTTTGGTAGAGTATGTGTTCCGTATATTTATTAAGTCCGTTTCATTTCAGTTTTGTAGTTGCAAAAATAGTAGCAAACGCAACGGTAGAAAACGACCGGGATGCCCATGTCGAGGAGCACAAATGTGCGGATGGCTGTTCATGTGAACGAAGGCAGGTTGTAAGAATAAGCTTCAACAGGGAACAGTAGCAGCTGCAAATGCCGGACGAAATGCTCTTGAGCGTCATCAGATCGCGTCCAGTTTAGCAATAAAGTCGCATGTTTGTAATACGTTTCCTGTTATATTAGTTATCTGAAGCACTTGCGTTGATTATTTGGTACTGACACAAACACAGAAATATATGAAACTTGGAAAGCATTATTCACAGGAACTTAATATTTTTAGGAATTCATTGGAACTTTGACAGTTGGCGAAAAGGATAAGGTACTGCTTGAACTTCTGTCAAATTATGGTAAAGGTACTAGGCTTGATTATGCCAAACGTCTAGTGCAATTTGGTGGAAACCCCCCGCCCCAGTCCTTCCAGAGACAAGGCCACCATGGTGTACATTTGGAGTATGTCAAGCTATGCCAACTGAGGAGGAAAATAAGTGTTGCACAAAAATCACATCTGTGACATCATGTGACATTCCAAAACACATGCGCATCCCGGGATGTATTGGTCATGCCGTGATGGCTATCGGAGCGAGGTGCGATATCAGGGCGCAAGACTATTCAACAAACAACTTTAGAAAGGCAGCATATCGCCAGTATATTTTATGGCGGTGTAAGAAATGTACTTCACATGCGCATGTGAACATATTTCCATGCTAACATGCGCAATATAAATTCAATATATTATTATCTAAAATATTATCTTTGCATTACCAATCTATATTATTATAGCAATTACTATATTATTATAGCTTTATTTTTTAATATTGCAAGTCCTCTATTTTGCCCCTTTATGAAATATGTCCCTTCTCTAATAGGCCCCTTTTCAGGAGAAATGTATTACTGTAAACCCCTGTCTAGTAAACCCAACCCCATTTTATTACAAAGAAACACATGCACATTGATTAAATTAATATTATTACTATATTTAGCATTTACAGAATCTTGTGCTTTATCATCAAATCCTTTTATTCTAGATCTATATTTACAAACAACCAATATTCCATACTTGTTTCATATATTTTGTTGTATTTCCTGTAGTTTTCTGTATAGTTGTATTAATATATTCTGTAATGTAATTTAAATTTTTTGTTTATTCTTTGTTTTGACTAAACCCATCTGATTGGTTTATTTTTTGTCACATGCATGATTGCTTTTATATTGTTAGTATAAAAGCTTCTGTAATTTTCCCGACCACCGCTAGTAACTCCAGACAAAAGGGCCATACTCTTCTGGAAATCTATAAAACAGACAATATTTGAACATCTAACAAGCAAATGGTTTATAAGGGTACAGTACATAATACCAAATGGACAGGTTTTCCTTGTTACTATAAATATGGGAAATGGGTAATGTTCACAATCAGTATCTAGTAGAAAGTGGATTGCAATGAGGATGTTACAAATGATCCGATAATTGTCTCTTACCCTTGTGCATCATAAATGAACTAATAGGAAATGAACAATCCTTTTTGGATAATAAACTGTACTAGAACATCCCAAAGGGGGAATGGAAAAGCGTGGTGGGGGAAGTGTGGATTTTTTCTCAGATGACTCATTGCATACTATTTGAGTTGCCATCAAAACTCAAAAGATGCTGCTATTTATTAAAACACTAAATTTTCAATACCAGTAATAATTACCTAATTGCATCATGATCTGATTCCAAACTTGTACTATCACTCTCAAATGATGGGTCTTCATGGCATAATCCAAATTCAGGATTGACAGATATGGAAAGATTCTCGATGTAGGTGCAACATCCATGGCTCTGTTAGGGAAAAGTAAATGAAATTAACCCTGATTTCCATTTCATAACAGGAGCACGTCCATCAATGTGAAATAGCCAAGATGAGCCAAACGACGGGCATTTGTTGATGACATATGTTTATATTGGTTAAGAAATCTTGATGTTGAGGATATATACTGTATATAATAGCATGTGAATTTAATAATAAAGAACAAAATAGATAAGATACAAGATATACCCGTTGCTAATAACTGAAGACTTAATTTGTATGGAAGCTGGGCTGGCCCTTTTAGTGAGACAGCCTGTTAAGCGAGATCTCACTGTGTACTTATTTTAATTTATACTAAAACTAAGTACCGCTTGAAAGAGGTGAGATGTCGCTTACCAGAATAAAGATTTCTCCATCTTTAATACACGAGAGAAATTCATCCCGCTTACCAGACTAGCCCGGCTTCCATATTCAGTAAACAGCCCCCCTATTCTGTCATTCAAGGAAGAACACATTATGTAACAAGGCACTACAAGGCATTATGTAACAAGGCACTACTATTAAAGCATTTAAACACAGCTAAAGGATGATATCTACTGTATTTCTTACGTTCTATTATTTTCAACACTCACATCTCATTTGTCAGCCTCATAGACAATTATGGGTGACAAACACAAATTTCGGTCAGATTTGCCTTTATGAACAGGTGTTGAAGACACAACATATGGCAAGGGTCGATCTAAAGTGTTATATAGAAAAGATATGATCATATGGGACGTAGATAATAAATCGTTTTAGATGTAAAATATAAAGAAATTAATTGCATTACTAACAAATATGTAGTATTTACCATCGCCTGGAGATTCCATTGAATAATTGCAAAGGCTCGTCTTCGCCATAATTCAGAAGCAAGTACCGTGCAAAATCACTTGTGTCTTCGTTGAGAATATATTACATAGATTCTTTTCTGGTAATCCATATCGCATGTACGTCCTTCTTTACTTTTATACGCACAAATCCTATCTCGACATGATCGGTATTATTCTTTATACATAAACACCATCACACTATAGACTTCAATTTGTCGTTTATTGCAAATAAATATTATGAAATGCTTAACAGTGGGTCAGTCTACATATTCACAGCACAGAATTTCAGGAGTAATGAATAATTTATGATGAAAATTGTTCGGATATTCGCGGATTTAGTCACACAACTCCTAATATACGAAAGTCGCCATTTTCCGGGCACCCTAAAATGGCCAAACAAGCTGCGACCAAGCGCGCAAAGCATTACCGTGATACTCATTCTTTAAGTTTGCTTTCTTCGTCTTTTATCTCGCCCAATACTTCCTTCAGAGTGCAGCGTTTCTTCAAGGCCAATTTCACTCGCTTCGTGTTCACCCGACCGTTCGTCGTCTGCACCCTGACCGACGAATTGATTAAACTCATCCCTTTCTCCTCGCTGAATTCGAGTCACCGGCATATCGCTCCACATAAATGTAACACTGAACCAACACGAGTGTCAATAAGAATGGACCATTTCCTGCTACCAATTGTAACGTGCTAGCGCAACATGAGTTTCACAACAACACCTTCATTACAAGCACAACACCTATTTATACAAGCACACACCTAACTGGCAATTCAATTAGACTATTTACATATTTACATAATACGTGCATGGAACTGCCATACGTTTGCTCCACTCGGATCGTAATAATATTTGCTCTGACACCTGGCGACGATCGAAACGCATGGTCCAAAGTTCAGACGAATAATAATAAAAGAGACACGAAAGCAACATCCGGATCTACGAAGAGACAAGTAGCATCCGTAATTATGAAAAGCCATACTACAAATCCAGTTTTGGGCTCAAACCAATTTGCCCCGTTGACTATCGAAGAAACTGAGGGCGACGAAGTCGAAATCACCAGAGAAACAGCTGGACGATTTGCTATTTTCGTATAATTTTACGAAAATTTGTTGGACTGAACGTTTTGATAAATGAATGGGCTTATGAATACTGTTTGGTCGCAGCGAAAACGAAAGAACGTATTCAAAGGAGTGATGTCCATAGGAGTGATGTCCAAGAGTTCTCGAATAAATCACATTTGCCGATCTGCGAGACTAAAAAGTTGTTTAAAATTCCCGTTTAGGAAGGTTACTATTTTAGGTTAGTATATTCTCTTTTTATTCTACTATAGTTGACTAAAATGAAGCTTTAGAAGGTTTTTTATATATCGATAACTGACAAACGTTCAAACAACAATTTGAAGACATCTTGCAGCTAGAGGCTTGCAGGTGTTGCAACCATTTTTACTGTATCCTCTTCAATACAACCCTTATTTAGTAGTTTCCCCCCACTATTTTTCTAGCAGAAGAGGCTGTTCATTCAAGAGAGAAGTTTTGTTATGAACATTTATTACAAGCAAACAATGTTTAGCATTAGTGTGTAGGAATGCAATGGGAATACCCTTTTTTTATAAGAACCAGTAAAATTTTGCCCAGCTTGAGTTTCTCATTTTTTAACTTTGTATATTCAAAAGGCTTCTATTTGTGGGCCATTTCAGCCTCGTTGGTTCTTGTTAGATAAATTTGTTCCTATAAAAAAGTGTAGAAAGTAAAATGCATACCCACAGGATATCATGTCTTTATATTTCCTTTAATAAGGTTCCCCACCCACACTTTTGGCTTTTATTTACTGTAATCTGTATTAAGCCCCCCTCCCTCAAACAAGCCCCCCTTTGCAGATAAAGAAATTTATTAAGCCCCCCTCTATTAACCACCCCCTATCCACATAAAAAACACATATTTTGTTCAGATGTTATGATTTATTCACACTAACTTGATTTATTCACACACACACACAATGAGTTGTGCTTGCAGAAAATTATCATATAATTTTAAGGATAAATAAATAAGCTCCCCCCCCCCTCCCCCCTCAAAAGGACCTAAAAAGAATAAGCCCCTTCGGGCTTAACAGAGAGATCATGGTACTATTGATAACAAGGGCAGATTTCGTGCTCGACCAATCAGCGCATTTGTTTACAGTTTCGCTCTCAGCTAATCATAATGCAGGAAACGAGGCGAGCTAGAAAATATTGCCATCTTCTCGGGCTTCCGTGAGATTCAATTTTAACTTTTTAAATTTAAAACCAAAAGATTATGATGCAGCACGTTAAAATCTAAAACTTTGCCGTGGGCATTTTTAAATTTCGACCTAGAACGGAAAATATCCGTGTTTGAAATTTTTCCCTATGTCGCGTATACAAATTTGAGTAATCTAATTTGACTGCAATAAAACTAAAAATTGCTATATTTTCTCTGCTTTACGTTTTTGTTGGAAAACTCTTTTTCGCTCTTGTTGAGAATCATTTTGGTCAATGTATTATTTCATAACTGACCTAGAAGATAACTCGTTTAGAGAGTCTGATTTTCGGACAATATTTTTGTATTGATTTCCCGTATGATCGCGAGCGTGCGACTATATTTTTTTTAAATCAAGCGCTATAAACGCGTTATCGTCTAGGTTTTAATATAAAACATTGACCAAAACAATTTGCTACAAGAGCGCGAAAAAGAGTTCTCCAACAAAAATTTAAAAGCAGAGAAAATATAGCAATTTTAGTTTTATTGCAGTCAAATTAGATTACTCAAATTTGTAAACGCGACATAAGGAAAAATTTCAAACACGGATATTTTCCGTTCTGGGTCGAAATTTAAAAATGCCCACGGCAAAGTTTTAGATTTTGATGTGCTTTATCATAATCTTTCGGTTTTAAATTAAAAAAGTTAAAATTGAATCTCACGGAAGCCCGAGAAGACGGCAATATTTTCTAGTTCGCCTTGGTGTAAATTTCGCGTTTCTTGCATTATGATTGGCTGAGAGCGAAAATGTAAACAAATGCGTTGATTGGTCGAGCACGAAATCTGCCCTTGTTACTATTGATGTAAATTTATTGATGTGCCGAGTAATTTGACCACCACAACACGTCCCCTTTGGCCTTTGTCACCTTGATGAGTAAAATTATCTGGTGTTAGACAGAAAATAATAACATGGGGTCTTCATGGATAAACGAAGAGTTATGACAGATATGCAATGACAAATAGCATCGTACACTATACTATACCAGATGAAATTAATCATTGAATACAAATGCCATAAAAATGCCCTCGGCTTTCAAAAAATAAGCCGCTGTGTTATGTTTCGACACACTCCTCATACAGTGTATTTTCAACAATAAATATAAGTTGTTAAAAAGCTCAAATGTACTTCTTAACGCAAAACTAAACCCAAACCCTAACCTAGCCTGCGAGCAGGCTCTCTGGGGAAAGAGAGCCTGCAAGGATCCCTATGATGATTGCGTGCCGCCCTTCAATTATGATGTCACAGGTCAATTAATAACAACCAATCAGCGCAGACCGGAATACACTACGATATTGTAAACATAACCGATTCGTTTCAAATTCGTTAATAGTTTCGTATACAGACCGCCACTGTGGCATACTAAAAAAGTTAAAACGGCTCGAGGTTTTACAGTGTAATATATCAAGTTGTACTTTTTATTACAATCTGCATGTGTTTCTCCTGTAGGCACAGTAAGTTTAAAGTTGTATATTACCCGCTAACTAATTCAGTTATTTGGAATTGCTTCGTGCTGCAATATATAATATACAGTCTATATATATAGTAATAATATAACTTGCTGAAATTTATGGCTTTGGTGAGACATAGACATATATGATATACCATGGACATTGGACATAATTTAATAATATGTTTATAGTTCAAATTTTGCAACAAAAAGTGGAATTGCAGTAAACATGCATGTGATAATTATTGTAAACAAAGTGACGAGTAAATTACTGTACATTTTAACGCCGCATACTTATAAATATTAAATAGTCAGTATAACAATGTAAAACAAGCTTAATACACACAATATGCACTGAATATTATCAGAATTCCCAATATTGTTTCATAAAAGAGAAGCGATATAATGCCTTGTCCCTAGGTTTCGGTTTGCGAATTTGTGCAGTCTTTCTCAAGAATTATTCTTAGCTTAGGAGTCAGACAAGCCAAGGACACAATAAAGCGTGCAAGCTTTTAGTATTCGTCTTTATATGAATACTATATTAATTTACAGTAAAAAGTCAACCAGGATCAAAATACATGACACTTTTATCTCTACATTGCCGCAATTCCGAAGCTTTGCGTTGCTCGGTTTTACAAACGGGAAGTGCAAGTTTACGGAAGCTTGTCAATCACTTCATATGAATCAGTTATCAACCAATCAGAGCACTGCGTCCAAATATTGGACGCATGCACCGAATCATCATAGGGATCCTTGCAGGCTCTCTTTCCCCAGAGAGCCTGCTCGCAGGCTATCCCTAACCCTAATACTAACCTTAACCCCAACCCTAACCTAACCCTAACCTAACCCTAACTTATTTAAAAATTGATATAAGGGACCGGTCATTATTTATGGCGGGGGGTGGCACCGAAGAGAAAAAGGTTGGGTAAACAAAATTTTGAGTGAGTAAAAGGTTGGGTAAATGAAAAACAAAACAACTCAAGGGTTGGGTAATAAAAATTTACTGTCATTTCCAAAGCATGACCCACTGAAATATTGGAGACTGAAAAGCAATGTCAACAGTCATTTGTCAATACAATATGTGAATCGATCAGAGTCACTATCTTGATCATAGTTTGACAAAACAAATTGTGTTCCAAAGAAAGTACATGTGCAGACAACATGAAACTTTAGACTGCAGAACATTTCACAAGCCGTTATCAAACTCATGTCACTGAAGTGATAGAGGACATGTATGACAACTGAATGGTATCCTTTTGTTAAGTTTTTGGCCAGGGGCGGGTAGTTATTTTTTAATTGATATTTGAGGTTGGGTAATCAAATTTTTGTCTTTTTAATGGTTGGGTCAGCAAAATTTTTGACACGGAAAACATTTCTCTTCAGTGCCACCCCCCGCCATAAATAATGACCTGTCCCTAAAAACGGAAACCTTATTTTGAAGTATACTATCTAGCAATTTCCTTTATTACAGTAAGTCAAGAAATGAAGATCAGAAGCGCCATAATATTTGCGCCGTAATAGTCTACTTTTGCTATGAAATTCCATGCTTTTGCTATGAAATTTCAGTGACGGCACTGTCGGCACTGCATGGCTGGGAAATTTTGCGTGGCGTGTGGGAATGATGCAAGCAAGGCGAAGCGCGCGACACAAAAATTGAGGTTATCGAGCGCGAGTTCCTCTCTGTATCTTTAACCTTTAGAATCGATTTCTGGCATTTCCAGAGTCATAGGATACAAACGACGGTCGGCTTTACAGTTTCAGATTCGCAGTTTCAGATTCACATTAAGATTCAAATATGAAAATAGATCAGGTGTCTGGCGTATAAAATGTCGAATTACTCAGTTTCTTTCTACGCAATAAACTTGTTAACGAATTTCATTCTTCTTCAGAACATTACGCATTGAACAAATGTATTTTGAGGGCTTTAGCGCAAAATGTGAAGTCAGGAAAAATCGCAAAAGACAGACGATCAAGACGTGAATTCACGCTGCGCCATATTGTCACAAGTGATCGGCAATATTATATTTCGCTGTGTAAAGCAAAATACCCGTTGTAGCTCCCTAATCTCTAAAATTCATTCATTACAACATTATAGTGAATGGCATAAAGTAAACTAGACCTCAAAACCGTTTGTCGTTTTGTCAGGAAAAATCGCAAAACATAGCTGACGCGAACAGGCTTTTGTAACCCGAAGCGAATGACAACAACGCAGCTGAGCGAATAAATCCTTCTCACGCATCACACGTTTACGTTGAAATATTTTCCAGCAAAACCATTCTACTACAACTATCATAGAATGATATAACGCACTCGTTAGCTTCAAACAACTTCTGGTTTCAGCAGGAAAAATCGTAAAAGACAACTCGTTGGAACTCGTGCTGGACTCAAAAATCCGGGTGGGTATTGGAATTCTTCTGCAAGTCTGCTTAGTCTGATATAAGTGCATTTTTTTCTTAATAGAAGATGTATGCCAGCATATTTAAAATTTTATAATGCTTGGTCATATTGTTTTCGTGGAAAAAGTATTTGAGATTGCTCTATGTGCAGAATGATAGAATGACTGACCCCCCGGACTTTATTGTTCCATATTGAAATTTCCCGTAGTTTCACATTCATTTTCAGATTCGCACTAAAACAGTGAAAATCTGCACAAATCGCTAAACCACTGCAACAGTTTTAATGCAGCCCATACCGTAAAGATTTTCATTCATCTACATTATGGTGCGCTTCATTTGACGCGGTTTTCATTGCGATACACCATTGTGTGCGTGCAGGGAAAATCGCAAAAGACAGACGATCAAGACGTGAATTCATGCTGCGCCATATTGTCGCAAGTGATTGGCAATATTATATTTCGCTGTGTAAAGCAGAATACACGTTGTAACTCCCTAATCTCTAAAATTCATTCATTACTACATTATACTGAATGGTATAAAGTAAACTAGATCTTGAAAACGTTTGTCGTTTTGTCAGGAAAAATCGCAAAACGTAGCTGACGACGCGAACCGGCTTTTGTAACCCGAAGCGAATGACAACAACGCAGCTGAGAGAATAAATCCTTCTCACGCATCACACGTTTACATTGAAATATTTTCCAGCAAATCCATTCTCCTACACCTATCATAGAATGATTTAACGCACTCGTTAGCTTCAAGCAACTTTTGATTTCAGCAGGAAAAATCGCAGAAGACAACTCGTGTTCGACTAAAAAATCTGGATGGGCATTGGAAGTCTCCTGCGGTTAGTCATTCCGTCTATTATTCTACACATATAACGTCTATAATTCTACACATACCGTCTACCATCCCACACATAAGAAAAAAATGCACTTGTATCACACTAAGCGGACTAGCAGGAGACTTCCAATGCCCATCCAGATTTTTTAGTCCAGCACGAGTTGTCTTCTCAAGTGGCAGTTCTGCGATTTTTCCTGCTGAATCAGAAGTTATTTGAAGCGAGTGCGTTATATCATTCTATGAGAGTTGTAGAAGAATGAATTTGCTGGAAAATATTTCAATGTAAACGTGTGATGCGTGAGAAGTATTTATCCGCTCAGCTGCGTTGTTGCTATTCGCTTCGGGTTACAAAAGCCGGTTCGCGTCAGCTACGTTTTGCGATTTTTCCTGACAAAACGACAAACGTTTTCAGGATCTTGTTTACTTTATACCATTCAGTATAATGTAGTAGTGAATGGATTTCAGAGATTAGGGAGCTACAACGGGTATTTTGCTTTAGACAGAGAAATATAATATTGCCGATCACTTGCGACAATATGGCGCAGCATGAATTCACGTCTTGATCGTCTATCTTTTGCGATTTTTCCTGACTTCACATTTTGCGCTAAAGCCCTCAAAATACATTTGTTCAATGCGTAATGTTCTGAAGAAGAATGAAATTCGTTAACAAGTTTATTGCGTAGAAAGAAACTGAGTAATTCGACATTTTATACGCCAGACACCTGATCTATTTTCATATTTGAATCTGAATGTGAATCTGAAACTGCGAATCTGAAACTGTAAAGCCGACCGTATACAAACGTCGCATTGTTTTGACGTTCTGAAATTGTATTTCCGGTTGGGATTAGCTCACACGGCGGACCAGAAATGTAAATACAGTAATAAAAGATGCAAATTTGAAGATACAAGCTCGAAAATAACACTGTAAATAGTGTTATTGATAATGCTTCGAACAAGACTACTATTACGTAGAAGATACGTCCGAAGGAGTCAAAGTTATGTTCGGCGAAAGTATGGCTAGTCTATATTTAATGTCTTTAATATTTTTGTTCAGACAGGCAGACAATTGAATTGGTGAATTGCGTAATTTGATAATAGACGATCACGCTTGATTTTCAAAGGCCACAAATCGCTACAATGTTGATAATGACTAAAACTATCGTGAGGAATTAGTTGATATTGTTTCACTGAATCGAGTGGTGGTATTTTTGTCTTCATAACATGCACCAAACCGAAGACATGAACGAAAACGTCCATAGAACGTGCACGTTCTACGTTAAAGTGCCCCTGACACAAAAATTGATTTTTTGTGTATTGAAAGTACACATTATGTGGAGTGTTTTGGTGAAAGAATTTTTTTATTTGATTGAAACGAAAATTTTTTAGAGCCGTTTGAACACGCAAAATGTGGGCTTTTTGTTGGCACGCGCCCGTGTTCGAAGGAAACTGGAACGAGCGATTTTTGTCACGTCACGCAAGTGAGTCGGGGTATTCTATAATTTATTCGACTGGTACTAACTCTTGGCGCATATAGTCCATATACAAATATACTAGATTTGTGATAAAAAAATATATGCCTTTTTACTATGTTACAGCTAACTGTACCAATAAACCATGTTTAAAAGATGGAATAAGTTTACACAATATTCCATACTTCAATAACGAACGCGCGGAAGCTAAAGGACGAAGAAAAGTATGGGTTGGTTTTGTATCCGCAAAACGTTTGTTTGTGCCGTCAAAGCGCAGGTCAAAGCTAGACTTCGACTATATGCTCGGATCATTTTTGACCAGGGGATTACGAGAGGCGATTCTTTTCGTGTCTTTCGTTGACGGGCTCGGCAAGCCTAACTATCCGAAGCTATTAAAGACTGACGATAATTTGCTTTGTTTTGATGATTCAATTTCGGTTTTACGGGCCCGCTAATAATATAAATATTTTGTAATACCGAAATGAAAGATGCAAATCTGAAGACACAAGCTTGAAAATAACACTCTAAATAGTGTTTTCGATTCCGGTTCAAATAAGACTATACGAAAAAGATATTTCCAAAGGGGCCGAATTTATGTTCGGCGAAAGATATGACTAGTTTACATTGTTCGAGACTATAAATTGAATAATATAATGAATTATGACACCACTTGACCTATCAAAGTCAAAGACAAAGGTCATAAATAGCTATACCATCTGACTAATACTATAGCCTGTATCTGACTAAAAGTCTAAAACTATCGCTGGGAATTAGGAGATTTTGTTTCACTGAATCGAGTCGTAGTATTTTTGTCTTCATAGCATGCACTGAACCGGAGATATAAACCTTGCAAAGCCATAGAACGTCTACGTTAGCAGAGGGCCAGGCAGACTAAAAAGTAAAAACAGTCGCTAATAATGGGAGACTAGTTTTATTTTATTTTTCTCGTGTCCCCTAGCTTTGTTTACCAACAACAATCCATAGTTTTACTCGTGAAGTGAAATTGTGATAATAGCGGCAGTTTTTCGTCACGTCCGCGTCGTGTAGATTTGGTGGTTTTAATGATAATACTAGGGACCTGGTGTGTTATTGATCAGCATCTTCCAACACAACATATATTAACCAGGTATAAAATTCGCACTGGAATCAACGGACTGATCGCTACTGTCGGATTCTGTTGTCGACATGATACTTTATAGAACCATGATAGAACTTAGAATATAAAAACACTTCAGCCGTTCAGCGATCAAAACCTTTGAGCTGATCAAAACTGATAAAAGTCTAACAGACCGTCAAGATTTGACTCACTTGCGTGACGTCACAAAAAAATGCTATCCCCAGACTCCTGTAGCCGACGTCCATGTGCCAAAAATTTATGTGTTTAAATCGCTCTAAAAAATTTCCTTTTTAATGAAATCAAAAAATTCTTTCACCAAAACACTCCACATAATGTTTACTTTCAATACACAAAAAATCAATTTTTGTGTCAGGGGCACTTTAATTAATTTGATGGGATATGTCGAGAAAGACTTTTAAATTAATTCAGATTGTAAAGACTCTGTCATATAAAAGCCTTGCCAGTAGGTGAGTAGGGCTTACCTCTGTGAAACATTTGCCGAGTAAATGTTTGCTCTTGCAGCAGGATTTTTCAACGACTGTCCATTCCCTTTGTCCATCGCTGCTACTGTATATAACGTATATTCGCTGACTATAGGTATTCAAATTCATGTATGCTCAATTCTATGGGTCATGGCAATCAAAGACAAAGGTTAGAAGGTCGACTTTGACACTGCTTGCATCACGAGCGTGAACGCTCAAAATTTACTTGTCCTCGACTCGACATGCCTCTTGATTCCTTGCATATTCCTTGTTTCCTGTTTATAAAATTAACAACACATATTATACAGTTACATGTTGGCCCTTTCTCGATATTGAGCAACCGAAATAGTAGCGACGCTAATTAGGGGGGAGGGCGAGAGAAGCTGGAGGGGGGAGGTGACCTCCTAGCTTCTCCCCCCCCCCCTAAAGAGCGCCTGGGATTGCAATCTAACCGTGCCTATCCATAACTATCTATATATAGCACTCCACTGGTATACATAACACTCCATTAGTATCTATAACACTCCATGGCTATCTATGACACTCCATAAATATCTATGATACTCCAAAGATATCTATAATACTCCATACCTGTCTATAATTTACACTCCATAGGTACCTATGGCATACATCTTCAAAAATACAATAAAACACAACGTCACGAGTCATGCAGGTTATTGCATATAAAATAGGTACGCCTAGCCTGATAACAGACCTACGTTTCACCCGCCCTAAAATTCGTCGACGGAAAGGGCGAAACCACAGGCGAAACATAGGTCTGATGAAAATGTTGTCAAAAGCGCCTTCCGCCCACTTTACATTTTGCAATAATTAACGATGATGATTGACACATACATGTAATACCTAAAAATACAATGAAAGTTGTCGATTTCACTTTATTGCAAGTACTAGTAAGAGTCGATAAGGCGCGTAAAAAAAATACCTGTGGTTCCGGTTCCCGACCGACCCTATTTTTTTCTGCCGACCCTATTATTTTTTCAACGCTTATTCTGTGACGCGTTGACCGTGCGACCCTATTTTCTCCGGGTGGTTGCGGGCTGCTCATACAGCGTGCCAAAATGGCGTCTGTTGTCACACTAATTATTGAACCAAATTGCCTAAATTCGTCCATAGGAAATACGAATCTCTAGTTAATATTGATGTCGGGACTCTACTGCAAATCGCCCAGCAAAAAACCCGCCAAAATCATGAAAAAAATATTAAAAAAAAATATTTATTTCCGACCTACGGCCGGCCCTAATTTTTTCACGATATGAAACCGGAACCACAGGTATTTTTTTTACGCCTAAGTACAGATATTCGAATAAATATTTAAAATATTGGTAACCCCATGGAGCCCGTTGCTTTTACATACTTAAACCTTTGTAAACAAACAGTTACAGTAGTAATAATACAACATTTTCAACACATTCTATAAATGCGATAAAATCTGCCTACGCAAATTTGGCAATGGCCAATGTGCCATTGTTGAATTGCATCCCAACTCTTACAATTTATACATTTTGAAATCGCCATACAATGGTAAAATCTAAATAAAATATTTTGTACGTGCTATGTTATCAAAATGTAAATCATGAATGCGCCCATATTTGTATCCGAGTTTTAATATGATTAATCACAAAAGTTAGATAGTGTATAAAAAATTATATATCTACTCCCCTTTAGTTTTAATCATAGACGTCATAGACTAGCTATCGTTCGGCATCACAAAATATTTAGAATGTTACACTGTATGCATATTTACATGCGTTGATTTACCGTTGAAAATATTCTGATCTTTTCAAATCTTTTCATGTTAGCGACCAACCAATCACAACCCATTTCCCTGTGAATTAGCCAATCAGCTTTGTCGACTGCCAGGCGGTCGACTTACATGCATGGACCGATGGCGCAGGCGACAATAGACAAACAACAACAATGGTTTGGTTTTCTTATTATTAAATTATACAAACACGAAATTTGCATAAAATATGTATATAATCTGAAGCTATAAGATAAAGAATAGAAAGAAAATTACGATTATGTTTACAAATATAAATACACTATTTTACGTTACAAATACACGTCTTTGCACCTACATTTGTCCAAACCAGTGATAAACTTTAAAAACATAAACCCAACTTGACTTTTTCCGGTTCAAAACATTAATTTTTAGCGTTTTTTTAGACTACTTTTATACGTTCAACATGGCTTCCTTTTTAACGTTCAACATGGCTTCTTTTTCGCGCGCTTTTTCTCAGTTCATCGCTGGCACAGATGATAGATAATAGTGAGCTTAAAGCCCGTTCTCCACTACGCGAATTTGTTCGCGCGACGCGAAGCGAAAACCGAAATCCGGCAACGTGATTGGTCGGCGAAAAAATTCGCGGCGAAAAAGTAGGATCGCTTCCTACTTTTTATCTGTTCGCGCGAATAAATTCGCCTAGTGGAGAACGGGCTTAAGCAAGTGACGTTTTTGACAACACGAACGGCGTGAGTAACGGCAGAAGACTGGGTCAAGGGCTGTGATTGATGAAAAACGTCAATTTTACTTCCGGTCGACGTCCGTGTTGTCAAAAACGTCACTTGCTTAATTAAACTCACTAATACCAGATGAATCACTGTGTATCTATCCCTATGATTTTCGTGTCCGCGATTTTCGCGAGCGATTTTACTGCCAAAATGGCGGCGATTGCTCACGCAATTCCACGCCATACTTTTGGTGGGATCCAGGCTCTTTTTTTGTTTTTGACCACTCTGACACCGACGGCAAAGTTTCAAGTTAATATTGCTGGATATTTAATATTGGATTTTAACTAAAATAAGAAAGGAAAACAGCAAGTTTAATCGCAAAAGATGTTTAAAAAATGCCAAAAATGTACATCTACACTCACAAAACCCTTGAGACCATTCCAGCTAATATTACAAAGTTATTGAACATTGACAAAACAAACTTTGTTTCCCCCTCCCCCCAGGTCAATGTTGTGAACAACGCCGAAACAACTTTTGGTAATATACCATGATACAAGCTCAACATTGAGTTGGGGCAGCGGGGGTTTAAGAATGGCAACATGATTCAACATGGAGTTTATCATAAAAATACGCGAATTTTCTATAGGGGGAAAATAGTCTCAACCAGTTATGTCCAAGATTGTCTGAATGTGGGAATTTTACAAGCATACCAATTGTTTGAGAGTTATGGTTAGAAAGGCAGATAGGTTAGTGTTGCGATGGAGGAAAAATTATTAAATATATGTTACACTGCAAGTACTGTAGGTAACCGAAATTTTTATCCATATTAGCAATCATTCCAGGCGATGCCAAATCTATATTTATATTGTAAGTAAAGGGAAATTAATCAGGAGGACATATCAGGAGGACGTCTTTAATTAATCAGGAGGACGTCTTTATATTAAAAGCTTCATAGCTAGAAAACTTAACGTTAACTATAATTAAAGAATCTAAATAGAATAAGCTATTGAAAAAAAATGCTCCGAAAGAAAGTGTGGGAAAAAAAATCGTACATGGTGATGGGATAAAAAAACAAACTTGCACATAACGATCCCAGAAAAAAATTCCCTGCCAGCAGTAAATCACCCCCCCCCCTCCCTCAAAAGTTAAATGGTCGGCCCCTTAGGCCAAATAAAAAAAAAATACTTGGTTAGCGTCACACTCTCACAAATTTTCAGAGGCGGGCGGGCGGATTTTTTTAAAAATTTTTACTCGTTTTTTAATTTTTTAATAGTATTTTTGGAGGGGATGGGGGGCGGTTTTTCCACCATATCGGTGATATTTTTTGTACTGATGTTGCGAAGGCCGCCATTTTGCTTTAAGAACCTTGTATACCCAAGCCTACGCGCTCCTATCGATCAGTATATAGCGCGAAGGTCTGAGCCTGGGAAAAAGTTCAAATATTAAACTGTTTTAAGCTGTAAAACGAAGAGATTTACATAAACAAAATAAAAAAAAATTCAGAGGCGGCAGAAAATCGAGAGGCGGGCGGTGACGCTAACCAAGTATTTTTTTTTATTTGGCCTTATTGGAGTTTTTTAACTACAACATATTTACGCGAGTCAAATTTAAAGCATAACCTCCAGTGCCGTCGCGAAGAACACGCTTCAGGGTGGTGTTCGGTTAAATCTGCCCCCCCCCGTCGGCAAAAAATCTTCGGTCAGTGTACCTTTTTAGGGGTAAAAAAATTTTTTCGGACATATCAAAATTTTTCGCGACATAAAAAATTTTTCCGGACAATTACAAAGTTTCCCGGTTTAACGGAAAATTTTTTCGAAAATTCCGAAAATTTCTAGAATATTCTAAAATTTTGGTAAATTTACCTCATTTTTTCCCAAATTCACAGTTATTTTTGGTAAATTAACTTTCTCTTGTCCTAGGATTTACCTGAATTTGCGTTAATTTACGTGAATTTCTTCTACAAATCTACCTGAATTTACCTGAAATTGCCCATATGTCCAATTATCATTGGGGTGTTACACCCCCCCCCCCCCCCACACACACCCGCTCGCTAACCTCGCTTATTTCGAGTATATTTTGGAAAGTTTCTAGAAGAATAAATGTACACATTAAAGAAAAAGAACAGTACGAAACTGATAAAATCTGCTGTGTAAACTTACGACGAAGTGGAGGAACGTGTGCATGAGCTGCTTATTCGGTGATTTCAACGTATGTGGAAGCCCTTTTTCCATTATAACATTCGCTTTATTAATATCACACAGAATAACACCAACTGATATAATAGTTCAAATGCAATGATAAGTTACAGTAGTAGTAGTAGTACCTCTTGAATTACGTCTCAAAAACTGTGTTGGAAATTTAAATGCTGCCCATTATATAAGATTACCGTTTTACATCGTTGTATAAACATTTTAATCGCATGTAAAGAATTATTTCTCAGCCCAGAGACATAGCCCAAAGACATGGCATTAACGTCCTTGTGATTTTACAGAGATAGAGCCAGAACTGAGGATTTTAAAAAGTGATATCGGTGCCTTCCCAAAGTTGTAGACAAGATTTGTTGTTTCAGTTTACGTCCAACGCGCTTGAAATTATATGCACCTAATTATATTTTCGGTACTTTGAAATATTTTAAAAATATCTGAAGTGACCGTCGTTCTGCTATGTGCAATCAACAAATAGACTGATCTGATAATATTGTCTGTTAGTGTTACTAAATACAAGATGAAGTAGTGAAGTAGCTATGTATACCATTCACTCGTCCACAAAATATCCCAAATAATGAATAAATACAGTTAAATAATTGCGTCAGTAAATTCTCTAAATTGTTCCTGTATTTTGTTCCTGGAGTGTGCATTGCCAAATGCTATTTGACATGTGCATGCATTAGATAGATCAGTGCTTAAACTGTAGATGTTCTGGGAACATCATTTTTAGGTCACAATCTGACTTGTGAAAGATCAAAGGCGGAGTTAGGTCCAATAGCATGCACTTATTCTTAAAATTAACCAACTTCCACTGGTTACTATACCGAATGATCAGGAACAGGTATGTACGTCATCCGAAGACCAATACACTGTAATGTTCATTGACGACACCATATTGTCTGATGCCATTGATATAACTCACCATATAGGTAGTGCAAATAATGATGAGGATCTGAGCTTGCGGATCAAAAGGTTTGCATCTGGTAACCCAACTGGTAACATCCAAAGAAATGCAAATAGAGTAATGCAATTCGCAAATGACGAGAGAATGCAATTGAACGGGGAGAAGTGCAAGGAAATGGTAATTCACTTTCGGAAAATTAAAACAGAGATACGATGAGTTAAATAGGTGACAATCAAAATGAACATAATGGTAAGTCAAAATTTTCAATATTGACGTGGTACTCGGCTTTAGTATTTATTGGTGTTTTCTTTATGTAATTTGCATATCGTGCATATCATTATTAGTGTGGGAAAATGAGAAGACCAAGGATAAACGTCCCTTGTGAACCAACAATGAGGAAGTATACACGAGAGTACATTTCGTAATTGGAGAGAAAAAAGTCCAGACCGAGGCGATCATGATATTACTATAAGAAATGGTCCAGTAAGCTTTATTAATAGAAATATAGAAAAAACCCAACAGAAATTACTAAAGAAATATATATGCATGTAATAGCAAATAAAAGAAAACAAACCCAGCAAAGTAGGACGGCAACTGCGCAAGATTCAAATTATACGTATAGTGTTTATTATTTATACATTGTCATTTGTAACGCATGGTGGCGCTAGCTATTTGATCGACTTTCATGCGCAGTCTTGGCCATTCTTTGTAACTGCAAGGAAGTTTCTTTTCCAGTTTGTGTTACCATCAGAGACAACGCGGACTTGGGTCGCTTTAAAAGTTCATAAGGTTCGTCAAATTCGACAATACTACCAGCGTCCAGAACCTAAAAAGGCAAATTGTTTGTTTCAATTCCACCTTGATTTATATCACAATATTTCAATCCGTATACGAGAAGATCTCAATCAGTGCAAATAATAATGATGAGGATCTGAGCTTGCGGATCAAACGTTTTGCGAAATAAATAGACATGGATCTCCACGAAAAAATATTAAATTCTGTCCGTAAAAAAAGACTTAGTGTAAGGAAGCAATGGCATTTCATGCAATTCAAATCAATACAACCCGGAGCGATCCACTGTAATGTTATGCAATAGAATTAAAGACAATGTATACCGTAAGGAAATGCAATACAATGCACATGTAGTAATTAATATAATAGATAGAAAACACATGCTGATCGCTATTTGAAATTTTTGTCACAAGATAAATATTTTCTACCGTATGTTAGCAGTTTATAGCTTCTTAAAATACTCATTAAAAATTCATAAGCCTTGTGGCAAATCATGTCAGCCATAATATGTCACGTGGAGTGACTTTATATCTGATAAAACTCATCTTCATTAGTATTCTTTATATAATTGTTCATCCTAATTAGTATGATTATATAATTGTTCATCCTAATCAGTATTCTTTTGTAGTCGTATTTTAAGCTATTCAAAACACTCCAACTCGCGTTTTATCATATCTAAAACGCTCGGGTGCGCCTCGCATTTTAAATATGATAATACACTCCTTCTCGTGTTTTAAATACTACTTAACAATTTCAAAATTCTAGCTGCATGTATGAAGAGAAGCGTTCGGTTGTTCTGCCCTTCAAGAAATACCATGTGAACATTTCAAGTGAGACTATGGTTCATGGGTACTAAAAAAACTATAAAGGTATGAGTTCAAGATCGCGCCATGTTTACAAACTAAATACGATGTGGCGCAGATAACTTTTTCTGTGGGGTTGCTTATGGATCTGTGGGGTTGCTTGTGATTATTTGAATAATTTAGTCAGTACATGTCACCCACCTTGTGACTTGAGACTTTGGAAAGAAAGAGAACGCGATACACGCAATTATTTAATCTATAGCCTAATAACTTTACTAAATCATATGGCTTACAAACTTCCTTTTAAGAGAGACATAAGATAAGAACCTACCATTATTCTATCTGCATCCATTATAGTATTTAGTCGATGTGCAATAGTAAGTACGGTACAATCTCTGAATTTGTCCCGAATAGTTTCCTGAATTAAATTATCCGTTCTGGAATAAAAGAGAAACATTTTGAAATTATACCATTATTTTAATTTCAACTTTCAAAAAAACAATTTACAGAAATGTAATGCAAACACTTTAAAATAAAATATAAAATAGAAAACAATAAAATATATTATTGGTTTCCAAATAGGTAGCAAAAAGGCTAAGACTATGCATGCATGGTTACCAACCAAACTAACATGCATGCAAAGAACACTCTAATCGGTAAACGTATGGCATAAACCACATCATTATTGGATTGATTTATCAACTAGTCAAACTCGACAAACAAGCAACCAATCCTTTGATCAATTGATCATTATATCAATTCAGCCATCATACAACAACTAAATTAACCAATGAGTCAGGTATCAAAATACCCAGTGCATGTGTGTATAGTTAATTGATTGTGCATGTCCCAAAGATTTTTGAAAATAATAAAAGGTGCGGTGAGAGCAAGGAAAGTAAACATACAGAGTCAAATCAAAACAGAGTAAGTCAAAACAAAATATTTACAAGATTCAAACCAAATAATGAATACAACAAGATACGATGCAAACTTACTTGTGATCAACGTTAGCCGTTGCTTCATCTATAATCAATATTCTGTTATGTTTTATTATTGCTCGAGCTAAGCAGATAAGTTGACGTTGTCCAACACTTAGATTATTACCAGATTCTGTTATCTGAAATTCTAATTTCTCAGGAAAATTGTTGACAACGTCCTTCAGCTGGACCTACATAGATTCGTATGAAAGAAATTTTAAAACAAGTTTTAAAAAATACATTTATATAATGCCTTCTCTAAACTAGTAATTCCTCTTCATGTTACTAGAAAAGGTCAAGTAGAACGCTATTCTATAATTATATACCTGTTCAAGTGCACTCCAGATTTCAGTATCCGTATGGTTAGAAAATGGATCTAAATTATCACGAACGGAACCAGCGAATATTACAGGATCCTGCGGAAATATTAATCAATACCATGATGAGCAGATATAAAGATATGAGGCGAAGCAGAGTATCTTTAGGTCTGATAAAACACGCACTGCGAATATTTTAAACTGCTTCAAAAACGATTGATCTTGTAAGTTCATTAGCGAAGTAATTTTCAAGAAATACGTTGTGTAAGTCGAGAAAATCAAGTCGAGAAAGTTTATGTAAATCAAGGGAAACCTCTATCAGATATAAAGGATACGACACGCTTATGATTTATCTTTGTGTTTTCCTCATGAATTGTTAATCACGAGTTTTTGAAAGTTCCAGTAAAACACGCCACACCCTGTTTTCATTTTAAACATGCAGTTCGACAGACTTAATTTAGGTTGGCGCCAACGCGAAAATATTTAATGCACTTAAACTGGTTAAGACTCGCTACTAATCCCCGTTGATTCGACAGGTCAATGGGCAGAGCGACGGTCTAGAAACCCGAAGATGCGAGTTAGGTTCCCGCTCGAGACAACGAATTTACTCTGCAGTGTCAGAATAATATGAAACTGCTGTTTAGTTACGAGTATTTGAACGCATCAGTTTACTCAGTCACAAACTACTGGCTAGGGTTACACCACCAAAAACTAGCGCGAGTTCCTGGAACTCGCGTATGGAACTCGCGTATGTTAAACTGAGTAATGGTGGCTAAAACTCATTAATAAAGTTTTGCCTGTATCTGAATGAAAGAAAAATCTGAGAATGGATAAGTATTTATGACTTATAGGCGGACGAACTGCGACCTTACCTAGAGAGTCACGTGCAGGACCTAGAGAGGATGTTTCCAATGCGGAAAAGCATTCGATGTTACCAATTGTACTGTGTCAGTTTAAATGTTGCACGGAAAGTTTGACGTCCTGCATCGGAGCAAGAAATGAGGCAATTAATTAAGCAAATGGATAACAAATACGGTTTTCCACAAGCATTTGGTTGTTTAAATGGTACACACATCCCTATTCACATCCTCCAGAAAACTCGCAGACTTTTTTGTTACGACAGGAAATATACAATCAATCAAATATCCAAGCAGTATGTAACTGGAAAGGTATATTTTTATATTTTAATTTTTTTCGGTCATAGACCTTGCGAATTCATCTCGTTTATTTTGAATTCTTCAAAATGATCTTTCCACGTCTCATGTTGCCAATAAGGCGTATTATGGCCTTTACCAAACTTACATACATGGAGCTTTAGTTGGCATACGTGAACGAAGAAACATATACAGGCTCTATAAGTTTGCTGCTGAGCATGTGCCATTAAATTTGCACCACGCTTTATGTTCTTTTCTACAATTCTTGAAATATGACAAAATCGTGATTTAGATTTAATTTTTTGAAGAGAGGTTTCTTGTTAGCAGACAAAAACTGTACCACATGTATTGAGCAATCTACTAAGAGTTGAAAAGTGTTCATAAAAATGACGTCATTACCGTTGCTATGGTAACAATGACGTTTCAATATGGTCGACATTTTACCTTTTAACACATTTTACTCGAAAGAAAGGCCGATTACCCCCATTTTTTATTTCATGAAACGTTTTCATGTAGAAAATTGAATGATGTGAACAAGTTTAAAAAAATTCTGTAGATCAAAAAAATATTTATCACGAAAAATCACGTTTTTTAATTATTTAAAATTCTGATCTACAGAATTTTTTAAACTTGTTTGTGCACATCATTCATTTTTCTACATGAAAACGTTTCATGAAATAAAAAATGGGAGTAACCGGCCTTTTTTCGAGTAAAATGTGTTAAAAGGTAAAATGTCGGCCATATTGAAACGTCAATGTTACCATAGCAACGGTAATGATATCATTTTTGTGAACAATTTTCAACTCTTAGAAGATTGCTCAATATATGTGGTACAATTTTAGCCTGCATGCGAACAGGCTCACTGGGAGAAAGGTGAGCCTGCACGGAACCATGCGTTTTACTCATTCACCCCTTTTCGCATCTGCTAAACGCGAACCAATCAGCGTCGACTGCGATAAATAAACTGTCAAATTGACGCAGGGCGTGAATGTACAACGAAGAAATTATACAACAATAATACGAAGCATCAACAAGAAGCACAATATATTACACTTAAATATAGAATTCTACTACCATTGCATGTAATAATACTGGTACTACTTGTGACTGAAAAAACAAAGTTCTGAATATCTGAAGCTATTAAAATGCGGTCAGATAGATTGGGATTTGGAATACGTCTAAATGAGCATGTATTTAATTTCTTCGAAATCACGAGCGTGCCAATAGTGGAAGTCGTATAGACGGTATTGGTTGTCAAATGATAAAGTGAATGCAATATCGTTTTTATTAGACAAAACCAGCATTGCTCAGGAAGTAATAATATGCAGTAAAATTATTAAATAATTTATAAAATTGTCAGCAGTTTATACAGTAAATAGTACAACGCGTTATACGACTTACGACATTCGGACGATATTTATCTAAATGATATGCCAGCGAGGATCAACAATATAATTATTCGTACATATTTGGGTATCTTTTGTATGCTTTCGCTTGTACACTAATGAGAATAATCCGTAAAGCCATCTCTAGTATGTCAATATAACGTCTGCAATACGACGGCCTCAAAATGTACTACACTATAGGTTTGATGTCAATCCGAAGACGAAGTTCAGAATACTATAATTTTTGTGTGTTGGATTTAAGCGATAGATTCAAGTCATTTATGATACAGGTTTTTGCTGTGACGCTTTGCTATTCCTTTTAGTTTCCATTTCTAGTTTTATTTTGTTCGATAGTATTATAATTTTAAAATGAATAAAGTTCAAAATGCTGTTGTTTACATTTGCTATTTTTAGTAATTTTGTCAAGGAGTGTAAGCCAATCAGAAGCCTGCGTTTCTATACGAACGCCACTACCAAGAGAACCTATAGTTCCGGGCAGGCCCTCTTTTCTTCGCGCCGCCCGTACTGGGATCCCAACGCCAGGATCCCACCTACCCAGGAGGGCCTGCTCGCAGGCTAGTACAATTTTTGTGTTCTATTAAACAAGAAACCTCTCTTCAAAAAATTAAATCTAAATCACGATTTTGTCATATTTCAAAAATTGTAGGGAGCCACCTTAAATATGGCACAACAGTTTTTCAAAGGGTTCCGGCCGAGCACGACCACTTTTTGAAACGTTATGGAAATTTCTTCATTCGCAGCGTTATAATTCAATATTATCCATATTATCTTATCCATAATTATTATCTTGCAACGCCATTCTTGTTTATCTTACAGTCTGGTAGGGTAACCTTACCCGAGGTATAATGAACATAGCCATAAGCCCTTCCGCGAGCGTTATTCGTTGTGCCTGGTTGATAAAGGGTAACCCTAAAGTCCATTTTCTACTAGACGAATTTGTTCGCGCGAAGCAAAAAAACACTAGGATGACCTTTATCTCCATGAAAGCAGGTCCTTAAGGCTAGCTGAACGTAATTGGTTGATCACATTTCACGTGAGCATTAATTGACTATGTTTTTATCTGCACCTGCTCGTCCGTAAATGCCAACGACGATAACTACACACGTATATAACATAAAGGTGTGGCAAACTATTGTTTTATAAAACCAAATAAAAAGACTTTACTCTGTAACAACTGACCTGTGGTATTATTGATAGTTTTTCTCTTAAATCATGTAATCCAATCTCTTTAATAGACACACCATCAATATTTATTTTACCACTTGGTTCAGCAAGACGAAATAAAGCTGATATTAGGGATGATTTACCAGCACCTGTCCGGCCAACTATCCCAATCTATATAATAAAACAAATAACTAATTAAAGTGCCCATATTTTAGATTACAATGGTTACGTAAACAGTGAAGTCTATTGTAATCGCTGACAGGCTATCTAACACAACTAAAAGAAAATGCTAAACTCAAACCTAAGGGGTGTTTAAATAAGCTCTACAAACATGAAGAGCTGACCCTCGTAGGCGAGATCTTGTGTGCTGTTTAAAAGCCGTATTAAAATTGCGTTCCGAGACCTCGTCTAGTAGGACTGCCGCAAATTCAGCTATAGAACTATACTCACTAAGTTGTTTGTTGGTTATTATTCTAACATTTTCATGGTGAAAATTTGATTTCGGAATTATATAAAAAAAATTGTGAAAATCTAAATTAGTCGAATAACTATAATGGTGCTTGCAAAAGCATGCGATCCCTCCGCTGATTTAAAATACGAGGTGAAAACCAGTCATATTGGTAGAGCTAGCCACCCAGTGAGCTCCATGTATATATGGAGCAAGAACCCGCGTCCAGTATGGCAGAAATTAACGTCTAGTGCCATTCCTTTTTATTGTTTTTGTTCGCGCGGTTAATACTAAGTTGCAAGAAATTTGCCGCAATTTGGTGTTTTGACTTCGATTTAAATAATATAATATGGAAAACATGAACTTGTAACTTGCTCAGCGACACGATCTGTGGAAAATATTGAACTGGATTTGTCAGGGAAAACAGTATGCAAACTGTTTACGACCTTAGCATTGCGTAAGCATTGGACGTCAATTTTCGCCATCTTGGCTTCACTTTTTTCATAGGCCTATTGACTGAAAATCTTGCTCGTAATACATAATATAGAGCTTAGATATTCCACTATTCCAAGTAGACTTCAAGTAAACACCCACCAAATTAGTGTAAATGCAATACCTTTTCTTTGGGTTTAATATGAAACTTGATGCCTTTCAGGACTGGTGGAAGAGAGGAATGGTAACGGAATACAACAGTCTCACCAATAATTTCACCATGCTGTGGCCAGGCATCTGCTGGTTTACCAGTTAATTCCTCAAGCGCTGCTTCAGATTCGAGTTGGGTGTATTGCTGCACTCGTTCTACCGACACCATCTGGATATGAGATAAATAACTCTTAAACCAATATGGCATTAAAATTTACGCGAGCTGTTTAAGGCCAAGTTACCGGCACGAAGCAATTTTTTTCAACTAGTAATACAATTTCGATTATAGCCCCGTGTTGTCTAAAAAGTAGCCACAGAGTGGCTTCCTCCGCAGGCAACTTGGTGGCAAACAACGGCAAATAATCCCCTGTTATCATTTCTTTATAAGTTAAACGTTCATTGATTTGTGGGAACATGTTTACTTCGCTTTCGTCGAAGTGTGGTACACATCAAAATATTTGCTTACATAATGCAAACGACTCCGCCCTCATAATGTTTTGCAATAAGAAATTGTCACATCGTTTGGATATCGTTGCACATGCATGGAACTTTATATAAATACCCAGTGTAACGTGTATGGGTAAATATCAGGATTTTTGGATATCTCACTTGATAGAACTAATTGTAGAAGAGTTTTTGCACCTGGAAATTTCGAGTGTAAATATTTTTATACATTTCTAGACCTTGCACTGCCACATTATAGAACAATAGTCATGTCACAACCTCGTTCCCAGGGCTTTTGTGTGAGGACGAGGGGCGAGACGAGAAAGCCCTGGTCTGGGCCGGTCACGTGACTACAAAATATGGACATATTTGACAGCTACTCGTCAAGGAGTGGTGAGATATTCTTAGCTGAAAGTGAAATATACAAGTATTCGAAACAAATAAACAGTCAAAAGACTTCTCAATCGATATTATTTATGTGTAGCGAAGTTTGGCATGAATCAGCTGAAATCTCTGAAGGCACCGTCGATGTTTTCTAAGCTATACCGATATTTCTGGAGATTTTCCAACTACAGTGACAGGCAAAGCCAAAGGCCCAAAGGCTCAAGTCTCAAAGTGGTGATTCAAACGATATTTGCTTTCTCTCGTCTTGAACAATATGGCTATTGCCTTTAATATTCAGTAGTTAAATATGCTTTTATAGCCATATTCTTAGACATAGTTCGATATAAATAAACACAAATATAAACCTCGCGTAACCTGTTTACGCTGGACAGGAAATATACGGATTCGACACTAACAGTTGCCGCTCAGGAGCAATGCTTGCCTACAAATTTTATCCCCTTCACAATCATTGTTTTATTTTGTCGTATCATCACAATTTTCAAGTATTCGGGGTATTCAGAAACTGTAAAATTCGGTGTCGTGACAAGCGAATCTTGTACAGACTACATGCATAGCCTACGCGTAGTCTTAGAGCTATATAAAAGTAAACAGGGCCTAAATTAGTAGTTTCATTTAATTACTTTGTCTTGTTTTTATTTTGTCAGTATAGAATATTGCAAATTAAAGTACTGTCAAGTTCTGCTATTTTTAGACAATATGGTGTAAGCCAATCAGAATGCAAAATTGACCGGCCCAGACCAGGGCTTTCTCGTCTCGCCCCTCGTCCTCACACAAAAGCCCTGGGAACGAGGTTGGTCATGTCATTACCTGATTTTCAACTTCAGCAGTTTGTCTGACACAAAATTGGAACATACCAGTAAGACGTTTTGTATAGAGTAACGATAAACCAACGAGAACAGGATTCACGCCTAACACACAACTTAAAATTAGTGATGTTGTTCTGGAATTCTATCATGGGGCACAAGCGGGCCTGGGTAGCGGTGGTGAAGTTAGCAGTGGGGGTGTTGTGTTAAAAAGGGTAGTATCTCTTTTACAGATGTGTTTATATGACAAATAATTATAAGCTGGGACACCGGTACCTGCCCGCACCCACTTTTTCTTCTCAAAGTGGAAAAAGCCCCTTTCTGGAATGAAGTGCCATCTTTTTTGGTTTGAAGTGCACTTTTCCAACGATAGGTATAAAATCCATGTTCTTGTAATTTTCAGAATTCAGAAGCTGGTTGTTCAAAGCACGATTAGCACTAACCCTGGGTTAAAATTTGACCCATTGTTTTTGTTTACAGTATATGTATTTCTGCTCGTTCGTTTATTTCAGAACTTTAGAAAATTAAACTTCTGATAATCAAGACAAGATTTCTAATCCGCTTTTGAACAACCAGGCTCAGGAAACAGTGTTGCAGAGTCTTTAAAGCCCTTCTACACGATACGACTGGTCGTTACGATTCTTATCCTGGCGTATATGCGCGAATAAATGCGTGCAAAGATGTCACATTTTATATATCGCTATAAACTGATGAACAGGAAATAGTGGCATCAGCAGTCGTTTTATATGCCAGAATGACAATCGCATACGACTCGTATTATGTGAATAGGCCTTTAATAATCCACATTTTTGGAGAAGCATGCCCCGAATCCCCCCTACAATGCTCGTTTATTACATTGTACTCCATAACGCCATTGAGAGTTGCCCCTCTTTGGTAGTGCCCCCCCCCCCACTTTTGAGATACTTTTGCGACCTTTTAAATTATAAGCAACTCGTTTTCGCGGATTAATTCCCGAGCCAACGGAGCCGTTCCAGGCGTAAGTCCGGGGCGAGGGTACTAATTCCGCCCGGCTATTTACCCCCTGGGAAAGGAAAGCATTAGCGAAGTCTAAAGTTCATCAGTGATCGCGGGCGTGGGTTCCTCACTGATCTCAAAATATAGCGGACTGTCATGAATTGCGAACACTGATTGGTCCAATTTAAAATTTGCGAGAATTTGAAATCATTTTATTTCAAACTCAAAGTTTATCGATAAAGGTTAAGTTTAGTTTAGTTTTATGAAGAACATTTTAAAACGTTTTGCGAAGCGTTTGTGGTTGAATTTTAAATTAAATTGAAGCTTAATATATTACATATAACATACCGAACATATATATGTTTGGGAAATTGATAATTTTGTTCTTAAAAGTGATATTTTAGGAGATTTTTCAATTATAAAAATATTCTTCCTGAAATTATCGTGTTACCATGACAACTACTTTAACTTCATGTTCAGAAAATATAATGGTTTTGTCATCCTCACTGATCTCAAAAATATGGCTGTTTGCCAGAAGTGGGATAAGCAAGATTTCAATTTTCAAAAGCATATATTTGGAAAATCACGTTTCATACAATGAGCTTTGAAGCAGTTTTTGTTTGAAGAAATGAGAAGAATTGAATTACTGTGGAAAATCGTGGAATATAGAGCAAGTTTGCTTTAAATGTTTAATGTTTATGAATTTTGTTGCTTTAATTTAATTGCGTAAAACATGCACTGCTTTCCTTTTCAATGAAGCTATATTAAAGTTTGCTAAATTACCCTGTTTATTTTAAGAAAAAAAGGTACAATGTAAAGGAGAGTAAATTAATTTGAAAACTGAAATTACTCAACAATTTGAACTTAATTTGTTTTATAAAGTAAAAACAGTTTTATAATATCGGAAAAAGCAGTTTATAGTTTAATATTAGAAAATACATGCATGCAGAAACCCTCGCGTTGCTGACAAAACCATTGTATTTTCCGAACATGAAGTATCTAAAGTAGTTGTCATGGTAACACGATAATTTCTTAAAAATATTCTTACAAATGAAAAATCACTTAAGGTGGCTCCCTAGGGTTTTATTTCCGGGGGTTACTCTTCGTATATATGTAAACTAAAACTTGTGTGACTTCGAACGAACGTTGTGTTTTTATATGGAACTCTTTTGAAACAAAAGTGTGAACTTTGCTTTAGTTGAAAGCATAAAAAGAGTTCTAAAAGACAAAACGATACTTGGATGTGATGTTTCAAAAGAAGATAATGTAAACTTGTTTTTTTTCAAGCGGTATTCTGGAAGTTTTTTGAACCGCCGTACGCCAGGTTCGATCGCGAACATTGGGATATGATATAAAGTTTTCTCAAGAATTTGCAGTGTTTTCTCCACAATCTAGCAGCACTTATGACAATAAAGATGACTTAAATAATGAGCCCTCTACTGGTGAAATGAGCAGGGCCGAAACTCCAAACATACCACCATAAAAACTGAAATTTGAACGGGCATTTTGCGAAAACATCCGACGTATGTACTAACTCGCACGGGACGAATTTTGACAAACATTTTTCAAATTAATACCAAGAAATCATAACTAATAATTACCTAAATATCTTTGCCAATTTTACATGTATAATCCACGCTTAGTTGACCAATAACCGACACAGTTATAAACAGTATATCAAACATAATTCATATTTTGTGATTTCAAAAAAGTCATGTCTTGTTGTTTTATGCAGAATGCCTGTACACGTCAGTTGGGGTATTAAATTGTTCGCGTAAAAATCTAGTAAAATTGCGAAAATTAATCCCAAATTTCTCCGTTTTCCTTCGGTAAAATTTTTTAAAACTTTGCACATTTTTTAGTACCGGCACAGCAAGTGCAATATCCTTTTTTAAAAAAATTAAATCGAAGGGAAAATTTTTAATATTGATTTTTGACGTTTTTTCAATTTTCTAAGAAACGTATCGATTTAATTTTTTTAAATTGAGGGAAAAAAATTATTATACAAGTATGACCTTTTATGCAAAGTTTTAAAAAATTTCACCGATGGAACTTTTTAAAATGACCTGAAAAAGACAAATTTTGAGCTTTATTCTAAGCATGCTGTTGCCATGACAACATATTTTTAACACAAAAGTTGCAATTTGTAATGTTCAGGAGAACATTGTCAATGTGTCCAATAAATTTCGTTTTTATGTCATGTAACGTGAAGAAACAGGAGTCTCCTGAATACTATAGTGTAGTAAATTAAAAAACCCTAGGGAGCCACCTTAAAAAGATCACTTTTAATTACAAAATTATCGATTTTCCAACATATATATGTTAGGTATGATATTATACGTAATATATAAGCTTCAATTTAAGGTAAAATTCAAGCACAAACGCTTCGAAAAACGTTTTAAAGTGTTCTTTATAAAACTAAACTGCCTTTATTCTTTAATTAAATGGCTTTATCGATAAACTTTGAGTTTGCAATAAAATGATTTCAAATTCTCGCATGCAAATAACTTTGCTTTCTTTCAGTTTATTTAAAAAAATTCAATATAATAAAAAAGGGAATCAATATTAAAGATACACTGAAATGGGGCCCGATATGCTGTCTTGTTTAGTTGTTTCATATACGCAAAGGCCGTCGGGTTTAAAGCAATTATAACAATATTTAGAACAAACTTACCTTCGTTAACGTCGGCTCCCTTCTTTTAGGCGATTCTTTCGCCATTTCTTTCTTGAAATTTACAAAATCTTGCAAAAATGCGAGCAAAAATTAAATATATTTGCAAGAAATTTATCAATCATCAAATAAAGAAATGTTTGCTATTTCGCTGTCGTCATGCAGTCGTTATATAATGCAAACTTTAAATTGGACCAATCACAGTGTTCGCTATTCATGACAGTCCGCCATATTTTTGAGATCAGTGAGGATGACCACCCACGGTTGGTGACCCACGCCCGCGATATTTGATGAACTTTAGACTTCGCTAATGCTTTCATTTCCCCGGGTGTAAATAGCCGGGGGGAATTAGTACCCTCGCACGGCGCTTCGCGCCGTCGGCTCGGGGATTAAAATGAACATTTCAAAACTTACGAAGCGATTCAGGTTAAATTTTACATTAAATCAAAGCTCACAAAATGCAGAACAACATACCTACAGTACATATTTCGGAAATTCATTGTTATATAGTTAAAAGCAATAATCTTTCAACTATTTTTGGTGTGCTTTACAAAAAATATAATAAAATATAAAAATTAAATTTATCATTTTATCGTGTTGCCATGGCAAGACTGACGTAAACGCGAGTCTGCGTTCAGTGTTGATCAATTACTAATACTTCATGTTAAATCAATGTTTGGAAAATACATGCGAGGGGTTGCTGCATGCATGTATTTCTAGTAAAATAATACTTGCAGCATTAGAAAAAAACAGTTAACTAACTACTCCACTCAACCCAACTACATAGTAAGTCAGTACAATAAATAATTGCGAGACGTGGGTTCACGTTCTAACTGAAAGAAAATTATAAGGGGAACCCCCTAGTCACTGGACACAACTGTATAAGGGCTAAGTTAATAAAAATTAAACTTACCTAATCCGGCCTCATGCGCAATAAAAGGAGCAAAAGCGACAAATGTCATCAATATTGCACAAATTATATCAAGTCTATAACCCAACCAACGATTGGCAGCTAAGTAATAGTAACTTGCCGACGTATTACGATCTTGATACTTATTATACTTCTCATGAAACTGATTTTGCTCTTCAGAAGCACGGATAGTTGCTAATCCTTGAAGGGTTGCAGAGATATGAGAATATAGAGGACTACGACCTGAAATGTAAATGAAAAAAGCAAAATATGCCTGAGTAGTTATATCGGTATCGATCGAGCCGCGTTTCTAGGGGATGGAAGGGGAGTTCTCATTATTAGTAAGTGTAACTTTGAATCTATTAGTTTGTAAAAGAAATGTGCCACATTAAAGGAAGCCCCTGTTACGAATGGCACTATACAACGAAGCAATAGTGACTTACTTAGGGCCTCAATTCTCTTGATTTCTCTGGACGACTTAACGAAATACTGTCTTAACCAAACGAAGACGCCAATGATTGGTACAACGACAACAGCAATATAAGGCTGAGAAAGCACGCTGATGAGAAGTATTGCCAAACCAAAGACGGTGAGCTGAAAAATTAAAAACAAACTTAATTTGTCATATATGGTGTGTATATATATATATATATATATATATATATATATATATATATATACAGGGTGTATCAAAAAAAACTGAACAGATTTAAAATTGCCCTCAATTTTGCAAAACAGCTATTTGTATCTGGTTTTTTATATATATAGCTTCTTTGGGTACTTATAATGTAAAATAATGAAAAAAATTTCTCGAACTCAAATTTTGTGAACCAGGGGGTGTGTCTTTTCCAACAAACTAAAAATGGCTCGCGCACAAAATTTAAAAGCTGCAATCATATTTTGAGTTAACAGATGGAAAATTTGTCGGGATTTTAATTACTGTACAAAATTTCAGACAATGTGGTTTAGTTTAAGCCCCTTAACTATTCACGCAAAGTTACAATTTTCCCGAAAAATCAGCTATTTGCATGCTTAATTAATGCATTTGCCTAATTTGCATATGTCAGCAATATGCAAATTAGGTAAAGGCCTTAATTAAGCATGCAAAAGGCTGACTTTTTAGAACAAAAAGAATAGTTAAAGGGCTTAAACTAAACCAAATTGTCTGAAATTTTGTACAGTAATTAAAAGCCCGACAAATTTTCAATCTATCAACTCAAAATATTATTACAGCTTTTAAATTTTGTGCGCGAGCCATTTTTAGTTTGTTGGAAAAGACACACCCCCCTGGTTCACAAAATTTGAGTTCGAGAATTTTTTTTCATTATTTTACATTATAAGTACCCAAAGAAGCTATATATATAAAAAAACAGATAGAAATAGGTGTTTTGCGAAATTGAGAGCAATTTCAAATCTGTTCAGTTTTTTTTGATACACCCTGTAGTGTCACTTTTTTTTGGGACACCCTGTATAACACAACTGCTCTCGGTACTTCACAACATTGGTCAAAATCTTGACAATAACACCCAGTCGGATGTTTTGTACCTTGATCTTGCCAAAGCATTTGTCTCGGTTGACCATCAAATACTTGTTGAGAAACTAAAATGCTACGGCGTGGCTGGACGACTCCTGGACTGGTTCACTGACTACCTGAACGGTCGAATTCAAAGGGTTGTGATCGACGGTGCTGTATCCCAGTGGGCCCCTGTTACCTCCGGGGTGCCTCAAGGAAGTATCCTGGGTCCCTTATTATTTGTTATATTTATTAACGATCTCCCTGAAATTATTCCAAATGGTACCAATACAGCACTGTTCGCGGACGATACCAAATTACATCGAAACATCTCGTCTCTGACTGACTGCGAGGGTTTACAGCAAGCCCTCAGCAACACTAATATCTGGAGCCAGCAGAGCAATATGAAATTCAACAGCACAAAATGTAAAGTTCTCACCATTACACGCAAGAAAAATCCTGTGGTTTACGATTACCAACTTGGTTCTGCCATATTAACCCGCGTTCAGCAAGAGAAAGATCTTGGAGTTACTATATCATCCAAACTCACCTGGCATCATCACATATCTGTAATTGCTGCAAAGGCAAACACGTTATTAGGTCTTCTTAAGAGAACTTGCCCACTGTTAACTGATATTCAAGTGAGACGGACATTATACTTATCTCTTGTCAAGTCACAGTTATGTTATGCTACCCAAGTTTGGTCCCCGGCGCAGGACATGCTCAAAGCCAAGCTTGAAAGAGTACAGAGGCGAGCTACCAAATGGATATTCGGTTACAAAGGCAAAGAAATGTCTTACCACCAAAGATTGCAGTTGCTCCACTTATTGCCTTTATGCTACGACAGAGAAATCAAAGACCTAACCTTTTTCTACAAGGCCTTATATGGGTACATCGACGTGAACGTCAATAAATATATTGCATTTATAGGCCATGGCCGCACCAGACACAGCCAGATTCCTTTAGTTATGAAAGCTCCACGTTGTAAGACAAACGCTTTTCAGGCATCTTTTTACAACCGGATTGTCAAACTCTGGAACACTATTTGCAAATCAGCTCCTGTGCATGGCTTTTCCAACATCTCATCATTTAAACAATTACTCAAGCAAACATACCTGACTTTATTCAATGCATCCTTTGACATAGACTTCCCGTGCACATGGACATTAGACAGATTTAGATCGAGGACGTGGACGTCAAAGACGACGTGAAAATGGCGTCAAAATGGCGTGGCATATCCATACATGGGCACAACACGCCATTTTCACGTCGTCTTTGACGTCCGCGTGCTCGATCTAAATCTGTCTACTGTCTCGTAACTGTCCTTGCCATTGAGAATTGGCTTTACATACAGTATAATTTACTATTTAGTCTTATGTTGACCTATGTTATTTTAACGTTATATTTTAACGGGAAGGCGCCTCGAATGCTTACTTCAGTCCCGTTCGCGCCTTTGCCGATTGGTTATTTTCAAATGTATTTGTACATATTTATAAATATTAACCAATAAAGTTGTTAAAATATTAAAATATGTAGATTTTTATAAGCTTTCTGATTATGCAAGTCATTTTTGTTGTAATTGAATGCAAAATTTCACATTTTCTTGCTGTAATACAGTTTAGTAGAGGATAATCACTGATCACCCATTTTCTCGGTGTTGGGCAAGTTTTTTGCTTGGGAACCTTTTGTGGTAATTAGGCATCTATGGTTCTATGAATTGAACCACAAAAAATCCCCCAGGAGGGTGCCTAGGCCTAGTGGCTAGTAGTGTTACTCTTGCGAAACTGTAAAAAATTAAGACATTTTAAAAATTAATTATAAGTATACATTCATATGGCACATATGTTGTTCAATTAGCCTTTCTCATAACCTGAAATTCAGGCCCTAATTTAGAATAGGGCCTGACACAAAACCTATCTAAACTGATCAGCATCATGAAAGATTTCGATTGGTTGCAAGTTCACATAAACAATATTTTATAAATAGCTCGGTCAATGTGACAAGGTCAAACGCGTGTATCAAATTCCATTGTGATTATCGTAATAGTATTGTCGAATTTCTTCGAATTTCTTTTGTTTAATATGCTTTATGGCAGAAAATAAATCAAACACACAGTATTTTGAAAGGGCTTTATCAAAATCTTTGACGAAGTTTGGACACACGACGCTAAAAGAACAGCAAAAGTCATGTATTCGAAAGCTTGTTGTTGACAGCCTAGGCCCAAGATGTCTTTGCCGTTCTGCCAACTGGCTTAGGCGAAAGTCTTATTTATCAGGTCCTCCCGGCGTTGTTTTCTGAGCTACATCGCCTTCGTCATGGTACGATAAAGAATTTCGTTATTGCTGTTGTTATCCCGTTAGAAATTGTATATCCGCGTCCAGCAAGTTGAGACCTTGAGAAAGGTAATTGGCAGTCAAGCTGTTTGTTTAGATCCCTCGTTTAATGATGAAACAAATGACTTTAGCGTATTTTCTTGACGCATTTTAATTCCAATTGCGGAAAGTAAATCGCAGAGAACAAAATTATTTGCATTCAGTCCTTGCACAGAACTGACTACATCTTTGTTTGCTGTTCGGTTAAATTAAATAGAGAAACTGAACTCTTGAAAGTACCTTGAATTTTTAAGTTTAAAAAGCAAAATGCACACTCTGCGGACATGTTCATGAGAATATAAAAACAAATAATCCAACATGAAATGATTATCCGTATATTTTTCGTATTTATTTTCGTGCAATGAAATCTACAACACTTGTCAATCATATTGTATGATTGTGTCCGAAAAATAACATGTGGGCGTCCCACGGTTTAGACAGGTTTTGTGTCAGGCCCTATTCTAAACGAGGGCCTGAATTTCTGGTTACCTTTCTCACGAAGGCCAAAATCCGCTATTGTGGGGGTACTGTCTGCCTTCGTGTAAGATTCAAGATTCAAACAACGTGAAAAGAGACTTTTAAAAGCTATAACTGTAACAGTAAATTTACCATTATACAAACAACTACAATACTAAAAAGTTGTGTTTCGTGGCGTGGAGACTCTCAAACGTGGGGGAGACAGTATCTCAAATATGGTGGAGAAATCGACTACGAGAAAGGCTAAAGGTCCTGACACACCGGACGTGATTCCGCGACGCGATTTTTTAGTTTTTGAAAGTTAATAAAACAGCCGGTGAGAGCAAATTTTTAAAGATATATAGACCAATTTAATACCTCAATATAGCGCTTCTAAATATTTGGAAAATTTAAACTAGAATTAAAGTTATCGGTCAGTGAAAATTGAAAAACGCGTCGCGTTGTCGAATCGCGTCCAGTGTGTCTGGACCTTAATTGTCTCCAATCACAGAAGCACATTATATTTTATATTTTCCCACTTGATAATCATGGACATGGTATTAAAAGAGTGTCAATTTTGCACTTACTTGTTGTGTTAATAACATTACTCCATTCGCTAAATGATGACGATTCATTGAGTTTTATAGCGATTACTCGGAATTGATAACCAGTATTCGGTTCAAGATTAGTAACGTTATGCGTTGTTTGGGTGGTCTATATTGGGTAAAATGCATTATCATATTATCAGAATCAATACAAAAATTGTACCTACATAGAAATAGAGTTTGTCCACGATCGTCGTGGAAAATGCAGAATCTGAGATAGTCTGGTGTTTAAAGATTATAAGCCTCATTTACTATTTTGCAATGGACCATGTTTACCAAAAACTAATTCAAAGACTTTATACAATTTAGGATATCACTTAGGCGTGGCCTTGTCCACTCTTTAATTTCCGTGCCCTTTCTTTAAATACATTGTTTTATTCAGCCTATTTTTTTTCTAAGAAAGAATGAATAAATGGAATGCATGTTACTGCGATCGCAATATGAATTTCACCTTTTTATAGGGATGGGTAAGAAATCAAAATCCACTTACATTGTGGTATTTCTTTGTGTAAGGAAACACAACAAAGAAATTATTCCTCTCTTGAGGGACCCATTGTGGTTTGACTTCCAAAATATAATGAAGATTACTGTATCCTTCTAATTCCGTCGTATTGAACCGTAATTCTATCGTTTGCCATCCAGCTTCAACCAATCTTGGTGCTGCAGGCTTTGGTAAGGTTCTTTCGTTATCTTTTGCAAATATATATTTATTAATTAACGTTAATGAATTAAAACATAAAACTACTAATTCTACTAAAAAATGCACGTAAAGAAGGTCAGCAGATGGCTTCCCATGTAAATGTCCCAAAATGATGTCACAATACAGTAAGTAAAACTTTAACCGTACATAGATTCACGTTACTATTTGGTGATGATATCGGGTAAAATAAGGTGGATAACGATTACGATTAAAATGCTTATGTCACACAAATTTTTTTTTTGACATTTGAGTAGAGGACAAAAAGTTAGTTAATAGGTTCTTTAACATTTTCGGTTTTCTCTTTTCATTTTCATTGGCTTTTAGCGAAAAATTGTCGCGCCCGAGAAAAAACGGAAAAGGGTCTGGGGCGACAGCCGTGTGACGTATCTTAAGGGGCGGAAGTTCGAATTAACATCATAACATGTGAAGGAGTACTAAAAAGCTATTGGGAAGACATATGTTTTTCAGCACTCATGGTTCTCAATGTGACTCAGAATACAATTATATTCCTGGGTATAGTATAGAGGATGAATCAAATGATACTAGTCACGAAATTGGAACTCTAGAAGCAGTTGATAGCGAAATTTTAGGCGATTATGATGCATGCCTTTATGCCGGTAAACCGCTAGTGAGCGAAGAATGCTACGCGTGATATCTAAAAATATGCGGAACACAAGGAACAAAACGAGATGCTACAGCGAAGATAGACGGCCTTGCATATATTAAATTATGGTGGGTGTAAACATAGATTTATTTTAACATTTTAAGGTAAAATAGGTATCTCTGGCTGATATATTTTGCGGGATACTAACTCATACGCAACCTCGTTCCCAGGCTCTTTGCTCTTGGGAAGCAAAGACCCTGGTCGGAGCTGGTCACGTGAACCCCCAGATTTTGGGGGTAAATTGAATTTGATCTCAGGGAGGGGTAGTAGAGTAGTCTGTTTGTTGCGTTTGGAAAATTGCAACTTTATGTGTTGTAATTTCGGGTGATAAAAATGTAATTTGCAACAAAAGATTGTGAAAGGAACTTTTTTAAATTGTACCGATCATGACAAGACTTCCTGCTGTACTGAATGTCATCAATAATAAGTGTTGCGGTACATTTCAAGCGAGAAGCTGGATCATATTTCACTTGCAAGGAAAGCACTCCCGCACCTGGCTTGCGAAATTAGCACGTATCGCCGTAGAAACATACATATCTTCTACACAGAATGATCGATCAAACGGTATTAAACGAACGATATGGTTCTTTATAGTTGAAGTGTAGCCTATCCTGTCCGATATTGAAAACAGAAGATTTATTTTCTAACGGGATCCTTTGATTTCCCAAACATCGCCAACATGTGTAAACAATAGTGCTATTTTGACTGTAAAAGCACAGGATTAAAACCCGTTATGGACTGGCTATAAAATTCATTTCATTTACATTGCTGAAACTCAACGATCAAGAAAGATAATGTCGAAGTGTAGCTAGCATCTGTTATCACACAAACGCCAAGACTCCTCCGTGCGTTTCCGTGCGTGCGGTACAACTTGAATATCTAGGACGATATATGCATCAGACACTGGTATTGTACTTTATATAAATTATTTCATATTTTGTGTATACAGTAATTTGCAACGTGTATAATATTAGACCTTTCATTGACATTGGCATTGTCCATTGAGGGCTTTATTGAAGAATAATCCAGCTTCTTTAGACTTGTATAATGGATTAATGCCGCTGTGAGTTATCAATATTTAAATCAACTTTAATCTTTATCGTATTCCGTAACCGACATTTTAGAAGTTTAGTCTGTTTTACCAAACAATACTGGAGGCAAACAACCTATCTATCAATGGAAACTTTAAAAGGTTTGTTACAGTAAAACTCATTAATATAAGCGAGACTTCGTGTGCATATACAGTTTATGAATTATGTATATCCTGATAAAACGTAGGACACTTTATAGTTTATACCAGATGTAATAAAAAATACTTTGCTAAACCTTTTCTGCTGTCATTCCTTTGCATTTAAGGGGAGAGGGTAAATGGCGATAGAATTTATAGGAGATGCTGTGCAATATTTTGGCTTCAATAAACAGGTACTCGTGCAGATCGACAAAAAAGGAAATTCATGCAGTTGTGAATTGTCGTATGTCAGCTGTGCACTGTCGATTTCAAACAATTTTGTACGTTATATTTTGTCTTCCTGGTGTTTAACATAAACGATGATAACCTTTTAAAAAAAATCTAGAGCAATATGTCTATAAACAGTTTTAGAATCAATAGAATGGACATTCAATGTGTATTTGGCTTGTGTCCAAATGTGTCACGTACTTTAAGACCGGCAAGGCGCTAATCCTATGACCTATAAACAGTCGCTTTTGAGACATCTGTTTAACAAAATTTATACCGTGTCCATATTAGAACAATTCATTGGCATATTATAAGCATATTATAAAAATCAGAGCCAGAACAGAAACGCACGCGTGAAATGAAACTACGCCCGAACCGGCGAACCCCGAGAAAATAAAAATATTTCAAAGCGTACAGTCATACGTTCTCGTTGCTTGATTTCCTGAATTTTAGAGAAGAATCTGCATTTTAGCATGTTTGTATAATTTAAAAGCAAACAGAAACCAATTTAGCAAGTAGTTTGAGGTATATATGATTCTCGAAGATGAATTAGATGATTGTACAGAACGGCCACTCCTTGCAATCGAAGTGCGAAGTGCGGAAATGGAAACATGTAATATGAGACTTTTCCATCCCCCTCTTGGGCTATCAATTTTCTATGGGTCACGTGACCAGCTCCGACCAGGGTCTTTGCTTCCCAAGAGCAAAGAGCCTGGGAACGAGGTTGAGTCTGATCCAGTCCTAGTCACTGTGTTTATATTGGAAATTTGCAAGATATCGGATCAGTCGAGACAGGATCTTGCTTAGGCAGGTCAGTTCCCATTATAAACACAAAATAATATATGAGACTTAGTAGGAAGTAATAACAAAGGTGTAATCTCATCTATACCGCGGGGCCAGCTTGGGTATTATACCCAATGGCTAGCTCGCCCCCATATATATAAACTGAGGCATAATTTACAGCAGTTCAACTCTGGCCGCTTCGCAGCTTTTGTAATACCTCAGCAGTTAGCAATTGCAGTAAGCAAATGCAGACTATATATAATGCATATTGAGAATATTCTAACCATTACATGTATATATGCCACACATATATACGGTAACTGAAAGTTGGAACAACATAACCCCCCTAGGAGGGGAGTTATGTTTATGTAAATTGCTATAGTATGTATAAATTGCTTAGAAGTTTCACCATCGAACATAATCAAATGACAAGTCTACTGTACGTACAGTATGTCTTAGGTAACTTAATAAATAATATAAAAATTCTGGCAGTGTTAAGGTATGAAATTCAATATAACTAATTTAGTTGGACTACAGTACGGTAATATCTGTAATCACTAATCACTATATTTTACTGTTTAGATTTGATGTTTCTGGTGTGCATCCAAAAAGTAAAACACCTGGAACTTTGACTCAAGTTGCCTATGATAAAAAGTCCATCAATGACATTGTAAGTTCACTAGTTAATTCATACTGTACAGCAGTGTAGGGATGGTACCCATTGTGATTAAAATATTTGCAATTAGATTGTCTGACACCTTATATATATAATTAAAAATTCCATGACTGAGACTCTATAGCTACATGTAGGTGATCAACATTTTTTAACACTAATCCATGGCCTGAAATCAGTCTAAAATATTTGGTAAATAAAAGCGAAATATATCCAATCATGGAAACATCTTTCAAAGGCATAAAAAAAACCCCTGTGGTTCCGGTTCCCGACAGACCCTATTTTTTTTCTGCCGACCCTATTATTTTTTCCATGCGATTGACTGTGCGACCCTATTTTCTCCAGGTGGTTGTGGGATGCTCATACAGCGTGCCAAAATGGCATCTGTTGTCACACTAATTATTGAACCAAATTGCCTAAATTCGTCCATAGGAAATACGCATCTCTAGTTAATATTGATGTCGGGACTCAGTACTGCAAATCGCCCAGCAAAAAAAAACTGCGAAAACCATGAAAAAATATTTTAAAAAAAATTTATTTCCAACCTACCGACCCTAAATTTTTTTCACTATATGAAACCGGAACCACAGGTATTTTTTTAATGCCAAACCTTAATTTACATACTGCACCAGTACCTAATGTCCCCAGGCGCTATATAAAAAGATTTCACATATGAGTTACTACATATATGAAAGGTTTACATGTGGTAGTGCATCGCGACTCATATTGCATCCCCCTTTACATGCCTATGATATGACACACTACTTCATGTAAATTACCTTTTATATTATTGATAGTGACTTGTATGTGAAATTTTTATAGCGCCTGGGCTATTATGAAACTTGCCAATCATTCACATTTTTTTTACAATTTACCATACAGTTGGTAATATTTTTTTTATGATGAAAAATAAGTAAAAAATTTGTTGACCGTCACTTTCTTCCATGACTTTCCTGGTTTAAATTTCTATAATCCATATGTGCCAATTTTTATTGGCCAAGTTGTTCCATGTACAGTGTGTTCCAACTTCCAATTTTTAACGATTACCCTACGTACAACGCGTTAACCAATCAGTGATTGTGTGGTGTGATATTTAATGCCCTGATGCAGTGAAATGAATATAAATTCAACCGGAAATTTAAAACCAAACTTGAAGGCTAGTCCCAGTCTTTTCACGCATGTGACGATCGAGCGCTCAAAGCTTTCTATTAATAAGTTTTTTATGAATATAATCACAACTATGACTTTTTTTTGAAAAAATTGGCTCCAGTCAGCAGAATTTTTTAAAAATTGTCAAAGTAATATATGTATCAATTAAAGTAATAAGAAAAATCATTTTAAATATGAAATAAAATTTGGGGGTCACCGATGTCGTTTACGAGTTAATGAATTACTTTGAATTAAATCAAATTAGCCGCCAAATTGTATCGTCATTGACATTGTTGCCATAGTAACTGCAGTTGAGTAACTTTTGTGAAAATTAATTCCTAATTGTTTTCCAATTAAAGTAAGATGCCTAACTTTTGTTTTTCGACAAGTAATACTTGTCCAAATCTAAATCATTCGCAAATTTGCCATTAAAAAAAAATTTTACTGTATAAACTTACAGTACATCATGATGCAACAATGTTAAAATCATTTATTTTTTGTCAAGTTTATATTTGAATAAATCCATTAGATTTATCCAAATTGATAATCTGCATTGTGCTTTTTATTAAATGATCAGTAGTTATCAGTGGTATCGCGTGCTTTTGTTATTGTTTTTGTCTTACCCAAATGATAAAAAATGCCTAAATTGTACATTTCCAATCCAATAAGAAAAGAGTATTCTCAAAGAAAGGTTTAATATACGTCGGATTAGAGAATACTTTTCCAGATCTGTTGATCTACTCGGCCCATAAAATGGTGGCCAGCAGGAATTTGACTGGGCCTTTTTAAAGATTATTTGTAAGTGGGAGGCGATCTACAAAAAGCGACCATACGGTATACTTAGTATGGAGAGATGATAGATGGTTCGGTTGGTGACAAACTGTTTGGTGTGGTGTCGTATGTAATAGTAGGAGGTCTTTGGGCATTCTCCCCCAGAAAAGTTGCATATTGGCCATCCCTAGAAGAGCATTTCGTGCCTGTTTTTTGAAACAGGTTTTTGGATATACAGCATCACATTAAACTGCACTATAGACAGACTGCATGAATCTTCAGTTAAGTACTTGCATGGTACTGTATGTTTATGTGAACACCACAACTTGGTCACTAATTTGTTAGACCTAGCCTTCCAACAACTCAATTCGATATAGGTTCTGGGATATGGTATCCGTTGGGAAATTTTTAAAATCTAAGGGATTTACAACAGTTTCGCATTTTTAAAACGACATTATGTCATAATATTGAATCATTTGAAGACAAAAGACATGACAAATGTAAAGATTCGCAAAGCAAAGTTCAGCAAGCTAGTATTAATATCAAGCATCCCTTCTAAATTCAATTTTTCTTCGAATGTTTGCCCTTGAATATGAAAACAAAAATTCAAGGCGCTTATAGTTCAGAGAAAAGGGACCATGACTGGGGGAGGGGGGGGGGGAATGACTGACTGGAAAATGGGTAACTGGG